CTCGCCCACTGCTCCCCTCAGCAGTGTACTTCGTCAGTCTGCCTGTTCTGTTCCTGGCTCTGGCTCTGGTGAACTCTCACCCTCCAGCGCTTCTGACTGTACCCAGTGCTTGAATAAATAAACAAATAAATAAATCTTTAAAAAAAAAAAAAAAAGCTCTGGAAACCAAAGGCCTTTGGGTAAGTTTGTGATGAATCCACATGGTGCAGAACTAACCAGGCTATTTACGGTGAGGAAAGAGCTGTCTCACTGCGGAAAGCACATGATGATGGGGACTCACCCGGGCGCCCCGGGAGCGATCCGGGGAACACAGGCCAATGAGCAGCCTCGCCAGCCGCGCCGGTATCAAAGGTGTCAGCATCCCAGAATCCAGACACACCTGAGTTATCCGGAATCTACTGACACCATGGGCGGGTGCACGTTCAATGGATGAATTGTGCGGCATGTCAGTTTTCTCTCAATAAAGCTATGGAAAAAAAAAAAAAAAGGCAGCAAATGCTCTCAGAGCAGATCGGGGCAGATGAATAAAAGAACAAAAGAGCAACAGAGATTTATTCCAGAAGTTGCAACCCCTGGAGGCATGTGCTGGAAATGGTTTTGGTTACTTTTAAATTGCTGCTCCTAACTGCTCTATGTCTGCCTCTCAGAGTCGGGAGTCGGTTCCTCTCCAGCTTCAGCGTGCCAGCTGTTTTCTGTGAGGAGAGTGGGATTTCAGATTCAGGATTCTCCAGAAACGCAGAAGCGGGGGTGCGTGTTTGTCTAAACGGGTTACAAGGATTTGGCCCCGGTGACCGTGGAGGCCAGCTAGCCCAAGTCCGGAGGGCAGTGCAGGTCAGGTTGGATGGTGCGCAGAATCCCCTCTTGCTGGGGTGTGAGGGTAGTCAGGGGCCAGGCTTTTGTTCTAGTCAAGACTTCGACTGATTGGATGAGGCGTCTGCCTCGTGAAGGCATCTGCTTTACTCAAGGTCCACTGATTTAAATGTTAATCTCACCCCAAACCACCATCCCACCAATATCCCAATAATGTCTGCCCATGGCCCAGTAAAGTTGGCACCCCAAACCAGCCACCCAGATTCCATCTTGTTCATTGTGAAACTCCACTCTCTACCTGGATTCAAAACTTCCTTTCAACCTTCTCCCCTCCCCACACCCCCACATTTTCTGGTTTTCAGAAACTCGGCCTCCTCTAAGCCTGGCTCCTCCAGCGGGGTAGGCCCCTGCGCAGAGTAGGGATCTCAGGGGAAGGCATGAGTGTGACCTTGTGTACAAAGCGCCTGGCACGCAGAGAACTCCAGCATACTGTCCTTCCCCCGTGCCCATGACCTTGAGAAGAGTCAAGCTTTCCGCTGTGGTTTGCCGGCCCTAGCGGGTTTGTCCGTGGTGGTCAGCCTTCACCCCGTCTGGACACTTTCTAGTCTCTCCTTTTAACTTCGACCGGATAGTCCCCACCCCAAGAATTGAAGACTTTTTTGGGTCTTTGTTTCGATGGGTCGGTCTCCTGTTTCTTTTGTAGCTCCTGTTACTTACTACGAGTGGCACTGATTTCCTCTACATGGCAACTTCCCTTTGTCAAGAAATTAATTTAAATAAGCTAGAATGAAAACCCAGGTGTCTCAGTAACACGGCAGTATTCTAATAGGAGACCATGAATTGGATTCAGGTCTGCAGACTGAGGTCCCAATTCATTTAAAACTGTCCTCCTCTGGAAGTTGGCTGGGCTGTGGGGAGCTCCCTTACTGATGGGTCTGTTATAGAGCAACCCCGATATTAAACGGGTTCCTGGCTGTGGGTCCTCACCCGCGCGCTTTAAAGGGACTTATGAATACTCTACTACAGACACACGCAAAAGGGTTAATAAAAGGTTTATTTACAAGAGAAAAAGAAATAAGGAAAATGTACAACTCAGGGAGAAAATAGGGAAATAAAGTCTTTAATGCGTCCTACCCGATCCGACGACCTGGAAACCCCAAAGTCACTCTCAGAGCTAGACGGACGCCGCGAGCTGGCCGAGGGCCCCAAAATGGAGAGAGCCCCCAAAGCCCACGTGTCTGCCTTTTGTATCCACCTGGCTGCTTAACCCCACCCTCAGGTCCCAGCCACCTTCCCTTTGGTGGTGATGGGATTTGGAGTTCCCAGTGTCTTTGGCTTTGACCTGGGGTGGGGGTGGAGTCCACAAAGCCTGTATGCAATTTGCTTTGGGACTGCCTTTTCCCCCTAACAGGTCCACTGTCAGCAAGAAGGGAAGTCACTCTCTTGCCCTTAGTTGGAGCTCAGTCTCTGCCACCTGAGTCATCCCAAGCAGAAAGCAGCTCTTCAGCCCTGCTGCTTAAAGTAAGGCATGGCGTCTTATCACGGCCCCTCTCTGAGACATCACGAACTTTCTGAGGAGTAATTGAGTTGACTATCCCATGCAGTTTTAGCCTAAAATGCACAGCTTAAACCTCTGCCTCCAGAACCCAGGGGACACACTTCCTCTCCTTAACCGGGGGAGCATGACGGGAAGCCTGTAGGCAGTGAGGAACAACGCACTCGGACTTCGTTTCCCACTCTAGGGCCAGGCCAGGTTGCTGGGAGAGAGAACGTGAGCGAGGCCCCGCGTGTGGAAGAGCCCCGACACATCATGGCCGTGCAGGGCCCAAGGCCTGGCCTTGGTAAGGATCTCCAGTGCTCTTGTTCAGAGACTCCCTGGTTTATATTCAAAATCACAGGCTCGGCAGGCAAACATCCCAAGTGGAAAACCAGTCACCTTTCAATGCACGGAAACGCGGAACCGACCTCTTAGCTGAGTAGTAGGCAACCCAGTCTGTGCAACCTCGACTTGCCGTGCCTGCCTCCATCCTACCTGACACCCCACCTGTCAACTTCACCCCCATCCTCCCTGGGTCACCCACCTCACTATCTTGTTCTCAAGTGTCAACAGGGAACAGCTGCTATTCCTTCTGATGTCTCCTTGGCAGCAACCGTGTCTGGCCATGTGGACTGCAAAGATGCCCCGGAGCCTGCTCATCAGCTGGTGGCACGGACTGAACCTTGAGATGACAGAGGGGATCGCATCTGTGTGGCAAGCAGCAACGAAGGAGACGTCTACTCGTGACAGGGGCGTGAGCAGAGGGGAAGCTTGCTCAGAGGACACCCTCGGTCTCTGAGAGGAAGCTGGCTTCGGGCAGGCACACGGAGGGGAGAGCTGAGCCAGCTCAGGTGCCCAGAGCCCAGCTGAGTGTCCAGGGGCAGGCACTGAGCAGCCACTGTGTCCTTCACTGGGAAATGCATGACTGGCCATGCGGAAATGTCTGGACCAACTCTGGGGGGGCTGTCAGTGAAGAGGCAACCCCCCCAAGTCTGATGGTGGTTAGGCCGGAGGTCTTGGTTAAGGCCCGGCAGTCGGTAGGGATTAAAACGAAGACTTAGGAGGGACACGGTCACTTAGGGAATAGAGCCGCATCGTTTAAGGATGAGGCAAAAACCAAAACCACTTTTTTCGCTTTTTTAAATCAAACACTTTATTTCCACATAACAAGCGCAAAAAACTCCCAAACACTTTAACAATACAATTAACGCAGTTATGAAGTCAATTATATACTACTCAAAGCCCCAAAAGGTCAATCAGCTTAATGTTCCAAACATTTCCAGACGTGGTTTTTCAAAGCTACCTTTGGTTTTTGGAAAAACCAGTATGGAAGTCAAGATCCACTGAATGCACTGAACAACGTTTGCTGTGTTAAGGTGTCCGACATGAGCTTACACCTGGCAAGTTGGAGCACGATGTGAAGTCGCACTGAGATGCGCACAGGCTGCCCCAGAGCTCCTGCGGTGAGGAGTGAGGGCTGAGAGGGGGGAGAAAAAGGCCAGTCCAGGTTGTGGCATTTCTCATTTTGTAACAGAGGTATGAGAGTTAACACTAGAACACTGTCGAGTCATTAAGCTTCATGTTCCAAATGGTCTCTGGCTGAGGCTTGAGATGGGCACAAATGGTGGGGAAGATGAAGTCACAGAAGAGCTCTGAGCAGTACGATCCCAAAGATGCTCAAAGAGGGCAGGAGGAGCAAGCTACAGTTTCCCATTGTTCTCACATTGTTTCAGGGTGAAATTGTGGATAAGTTCAGAGAAAATGTTCAAATATTTGCTTAGATTTTTAATCGGTTGCTCTATGAGGACACTCATACATAGCAACTTTGAAACTTTCATTATAAAAAAGAGCATACAAATAAATTCACAAAAGAGAGACAATTAATGTTGAGCAGCCAAAAAGTCATGGTTTATTATATCTGAAGAAATTTCATAATTCAAACACAACCAAACTGTACATTTTACAATCACATTCTATTTGTAAACAGTTAAAAGCCACTGACTTCTTTTGCATCTTAGGACACAAACGTTAGAATCAAGGCAATGAAATGATGGCAAATTCTGTACTGTTAAAATTTTTACCCTTGTTTAGTCTCTCTCCTTTGACTAAGCAAGCATTATAATACCATTTGTGGGCAAAAAAAATAAAATAAAAAAATAAAAAAAATAAAGGTGGGGGGGAGGAGGAGGAGGAAGAGAAAAAGAAATCTAAAAATGGTGTAACTCGTTAGTTTGCAACAACATTTAAAATTTTCTTTATACAACAAACAATTCTGTAAGCCCAATACCTTGGTTACAGTATGCATAGTTACTGATTTCAGCTTTAAGGTACAACAGTTAAACATGAACACAGCCACAAGAGCAGAGACATAGAGAGCCACTTGATGGGATTACAAAAAATTATTACCTATTGATTATTAGCAAACCATCATCACTCACTAATAAAAAGACAGCATCTGAAAGCAGAATGTCAAACTCCAGCTTTAAGCGTTTTTTTTGTTTTTTCTTCTTTTTTTTTTTTTGGCAGAGAAAATTCTTTAACAGAGCAATATGTAGTATCAGTGCTAAAAGTCGGGGTTTTTCTTTTTTACCTATAAGAAACTACAAGGAGTTTTTTTTTTTTGTTTTTTTTTTTTTTGTTTTTTTTTTTTCCTAACTGGGGAACTGGTTTTCCTGAGAACCATGCTCTTTGATCTAGGACAGGAATAGAAAACAAAAGAACATGGCCAAATGCTGCTCCTTTTCCCAGAGATAGAAAGCATCTTTTAAATCATCCTCCATTTTTTTTTGTCTTTTAAATTTTTTTTTAAATGATGGAAGAGTAAACATTTTTTTTTTCTCAAAAAACAAACAAAAAAATCTGTAAACAAGAAGGTTCAACATGGAAACCTTCAAAACAAAATGGAAAGCCTATTCAAAGTGCAGGGCCCGTCCTGGGTGGCAGGTGGGCTGCAAGTCACAGCTGTGGCCACAGTTTTTCAAACTGCAGAGCGAAATTCTTTAGTTTTACATGAAAAAACTGGTGCAATACTTTCATTTATAGTCCTAAGTCAGTATCCTAGCTTGATCTTTTAAACTCCACAATACCACAATAAGGTAGGCAAACGTCAAGGCATAGTAGAGAGCGCACACCTTTAAGAGCATCCTTGAGTAAACATTTACACTGGAACAGCTGCCCCCCCATATTGCCGATTAGACGGAGAGAACATCATTCAGTGCAAAGTTAAAAGCTCATACATTATCAGCCCAAAAAAATGGTTTTGCAAAAATAATAATTAAAAAAAAAGAGGGGGTTGTGTGGATGGGGAGGGGGGAAAAAAAAGAGAACCCAGAGGCTAAACATGATGGATATACACGAGTGAGCTCATTCGATACGGCGTAGCGTGTATGGCGCTGTTTGGGAGTGTAATATATAGATAGATACCTTTTCACATTATAATATTGGCCTGCATGATTCAAGTATTCAAACTGATATGTTTCGGGGAAAACAAAGTGGAAAATGTGCAGAGAATAGCTGTTCCCACAGGTGGCCCCTGGCTGCAGGCGGCGAGCCCAACTTAGTGCTCCTTTCTTTCGTATCTTGAGGTCACAGTTCACGAGTCTACACCTACACTGTTACATGGACTCTCCACCCCCACCCAGGTGGTCAACAGAAAGAAAAGCATTAATGGGGGATGGGCTGCTAATTCCCCGGGGGTCGCTGCTGCTTGGAGGACCCCACAGGCTTGTGGAATAATGTGGGGTTCCCCAGAGTGAAGTGCCGTGAAGGTCTCCACAGTTAGTTCCCGACAGCCCAGCACCATTCCAGTGATTGAGATCGGTCCGGCTGGAGAATGAGTGGGAGCAGTCGAGGGAGCCCAGCCGGCTCTGGCTGGACCCGAGAGACTGCCAGCCGGGAGAAGGGGTCAGAGACTGACTTTGTGCAAAAAAACGACTGATCTCCTCTTCACTGGCAAACTCAGCGAGAATAGTAGTGTTCCCCAGCACGCACCTGAGGAGACAAGCGGGCCGGGTGAAGACGCGGCACACCCGAGGGCTCGGCTGATTCAAAAGTGAGGGAGAAACTGAAGAGTCTGCTAAGAAGCGGGAAGGGGAGAGAACCGCCCGACGAGCCCTCTCTCACGAGTGCGTGCCCAGGGCCAGCACAGGGTGGGCCCAAGGCCCAGGGTTCTGCTGGCTCAGACACGCTGCCCAGAGCCAAGAGAGAGCCTCTCCCGGTGCATGCTGGTGTCAAGACCGTGTCCTTTGTCTCCTATGGAAACTGAGGGATTTCTGAGGGCCATCCTGACCAGGTGTGGGACTCTTAAGAGCACTGACCTGGGAATCTGAGAGACAGGGAGGCTGCCGCTGCACCAAAGCGCTCCCCTGAGACTGGGACGCGGTGTCGTCTCACACACGCACCCACACAGTGTCACCTCCTTCCTCCCTTCCTCCCCAGGAACCCTACACTCCCAACACCAGCGCACTCCCCAGGTGTCATGCACAGAAAGGCCAACTTACATGTGCAGAGACTTTTGTGCCTTCACTACCTCTTCTTTTGAACTGTAACGGACCAATGCATTTCCATGTGGGAGGTTCAGGTGGAATGTTATCAGTGGGCCATGCTGCATGCACAGAGTACGCAGAGTGGAGCCATCGATCTAGGAGGGAGAGCGGGGGTGCCGTTAAGACGCGGGGTCTCGAGACCCATCCAGGAGGCTGTCCCAGGCTGGGACTCTCTTCCTTTGTCTCTTGCCCACACTTCACTCCTGTGCCATTCTGCACTGGGACTCACTACATGATGGGGTACAATGCCCCCCTCCCCACCTCCAGTGGTCCCAGAGCCATACCTCTGTGGCCTCTAGACTCCTGGACATTCCCCAGATCCCCAATTCCTTAGCCATTGCCCCTGCTGTGGCTTCAGGTCTTCTCTCTTCCCTGCCCTGAGGACGGGATCCACCAAGGCACTGCTCCCTGGGGGAGGAGGGGCAGGCTCTTAGCATCCAGCCTCCAGAGGAGGGGGCAGTCCAGGGCTTCTCAGAGGGCAGTACAAGGACCAAATGCATCAAGTTCATCTGAATGCCCTTACGAAAAAGCTGGTCCTCGATCCTAGCCCAGATTTACTAACTCAGTCTTTGGGGTGAGACCTAGGAATCTGCATTCTTGGTCCACTCCCATGCGCATTTTACAGTGTAAAAAAATCAGTGGGTCAGACCACAGCCCACTTGAGGCATATGAACCATCTGCTGTTCCTCTGCCCAGCCTGGACCTCTCCTCAGCACTGCTTAGTAGGCCTGGGTAGCCCTGACCTCAAACTCAGTCGAGCCTGGAAACCTCTGCACCCACACTACCTGGTGTGTCCATCCAAACAGGACAGCTGGTGTGCTTACCTGAGGTGTAAGGTTTTTTAGAACAAGCCAATTTGTTATTCTCCCTGAGCTGCTCTCACCCCAGCTGGAACCTAAACAAGGAAGAAAAACAGGCAAGTTAGTCTTCTTTGAGGGTGGCCGGAATGGCCAGTTAGGATAAAAACAGCTCAGGCGAATCACAGCTGCTCAGCTGCAGCTGGTGCCCTGTTCTTCCTCTGTCCCTCTGCACTGCTCTGCACGGACGGACACCATCCACCCTCAGCCCAGGATGCCAGTGCACACTGGTCCTAAGGTCACAAACCAGGCCAGCGTGCCCCCAAAGGCTCGCAGAAACTGTTCATTTCTGATCTTTATTACCTTTTTCAGTCTGGAAGTGAGAAAGTTTGGCACAATTCTGGGACAGGGCAGAGGGAAGGATAAAGCCCAATTTACTGGTAGATCTGGTATACACCCGAGTCATCCAAGGCCGTGCATGTACGCTGCCGGGGAGGGGAACACATGATGCCAGCACAAACCCAGCCCTGGTCGTTTGTAGTAGGTGAAGTGGTGATAGGGGAGCCAGCAGCCGCAGTTTGTTGGCAGTCTGGTTACACTAGCCGGCCCCCTTCACTCTCAAACATCCCTGCTTAAACGACACATCCAGGGACCACTAAAGTACAGGCTGAGCATCCTCCTAAACAGGCTGCATGGGGCTATTCTCTCCTCCCAGCCATGCCCAGTAACAGCCTGTTCCATGAGACCAGGAGTTACTTGGAAAGCCAGCCATGAGCAAGACTTCACCACACATCTTAAGGTGAGCACCTGAGGAACGCCTGAAAGAAAGGCGATCCCCATTCCACTTACTTGACCACTGACTACGTGTCCTCGTAAGTGGACCAGGCAAAATGTGAAGACTCTCAAAGACATGGTAATCAAAGAAATGGCCATGCAACTAGGAGTCCTGTCTAAGTCCTAACCCTACTCTACAGAGGCTACGTGATCGTTCAGCTCTGTTAAACCAGACTGCTGGTACTGACTCAATTCAGCAAGCCACCCACAGAAATCCATTGGATGTGTTTCCTCTTACCTGGGGTATACCTGGCGTCAGAATTTCCCCATCCTCCACCCACACGAAGGGGAGAATTATCCCACGTAGACAAGGGCGGCTTCTGACCAGTCAGTCCCGGAGGAGGGCGGGACGGAGCAGTGATGTTTTTAGGTGGCAAAGGGACCTTCCACAGCTCATGAGCCAGAGAGGTGTTTGTAACTGAACCAGGAGACCACGTCAATTTGGAATCACTATTTCTGGCTACTCAAAGGAAAAAAAAAAGGTGTTGGGGGGGAGAGGTACTTTCAAAAAGGAGAATATTAACAACATCTGCTGTCCCATTAAAAGCAAAATAAAGCTCTATTTAAAACTAAACTGCCAGAGAAAAGGGGGAATAAAAAGGCTAAAGGAAACTGCTCTCTTGCCTCAGAACGCTCAAGGCAATCTATCTGCTATCAGCAGCTTGAAAATATATAAGATTCTCAGTCCAGTGTACAAAACTGCACTTTAATTGAAATCAAAGCAAAACAAAAACCCACTGCTGGGAATTGTTCTGAAATAGCAACTGGGACCTCCCTATCTTAATAACCACAATCAAGTCTATTCATGGAGTCACATAGGCTGGTAAACAGCCCCGAGTACTCTCTCTTGTTCCCTCATGGAAAAAGGATCCCCAAAGTAGCCCTGGAGTGGGAGCATCACAGCAAAGCCTCCCTGGGTGCCTCTGTGGCAAGTGGGAGGCTACTGGGCACCAGGCACCCACTGTCTCCGGTCCTGACACTCTGCTGAGTAAGCAACCGGCCCGCGGGTCCAGCGCAGAGCCAGAGCGCACCCTTCCTGACGAGTGGGGTGGCCGGGATCAGGACAGAGCCAACCATGTCAAAATAATGCTACAAGACCCGAGGAGCAGAGAGGAAGGAAAATGCTAGGACTTCCATCACCCAACTGTTCTCCTACTGGATCCACACCAACACAGCCCCACACCGTCGGGGCGGGACGGCGGAGGCCTGCAGCTGGCGGAGCACAGCGCCACCACAACTCTCAGCGCTATCGCTTTCCTAGCAATTCAAAGTTCACGGCTACTGTGTCTTATGAAAGATTCAGTCTTCAAAGGATTGGAAATTAAAAAAAACAAAAGGCCCTTTACTGCAGAGAGTCTGAAGCGCTTTGAATGAAATCACGTTCAATAACCAAACCGAGACGGCATCAGACAAGAACACGACCGAGTCCGCGGAGCCGGCGCCCACCTGAAGTGCTTTGTGCTGTACTGCTGAGGGGAACGTTGTAGTTGGAGGCACGAATGGATGACCAGGCACTAGTTGAAGGCAGCGTGGTGTTCAAGGATGAGGATGACCCTGCGGGGAGAGCCAGCTCGTCAGCCGGAGCACCAGACCAGCACTCAAGACTACGCGGACGCATTCCCTGAAACGCTGCCCCGCAGCACGCATGGGATGCTCCGTCACCGGTGGTGCCCAAGATCGAATCCCTCTTCAAACAGCCTCCAAGGAACAACATGCTGGCAGAGCCTGCCCACTGCGTTTACTGTGACTCAAAGGCTTTTCCTCTCCTCTCCCTTTTCTCATAACCACATGTGAGTCTGCTCCAAGGAGACACGCACGCCTCCGAGACCCCCCCACGCCCCCCGCCCCAGCTCGACCTCACACTCCAGGCTCTAAAAGACGGGCCAATCTTACCACTCCCAACTCCTGTCTCTGTGCTCCAAGGGCTTCTTACCGGACACTTCCCCAAGGTGCCACTGGCACCAGCAATGGGCTGGGCCTCCATCTTCTCCATCCGTCGCCCCATACTCAGTGCCCGAAACCTAGCCTTTCTCCCTATTTTTGAAAATCCCCTTGAGCACAACTCCTGTTTAGCTCCAGATTCAACCATTACCTGGTCTCCCACTCTAATCCTTTCGGCTCACCACTGTCACATTATCCCTCCTTAACTGTCAGTTTTTCCAAGCAAAACGTTCAATGGTTACATCTTTTAATATTAGATCTGAACTCCTCTCCTGACTTTCAGAATCTTCAACAAACAAGACATCTGTGGTTTTTGTAAGATTCTTTTGAAAGATTCTTTCATTAACTACCAGGCTATAAGGTCTGATGTGTGACTTTGTGTCCCTTCTCCCCACGAAAGTAGTGGTTTGAAATTACTTCTACTTACTTGCCTATTAATTCATTTTAGAAAAATGAGAATTTTTTCTTACTATTGTGATATGGCAAACACCTGTTAGCAAATCATTTATTTAATGTAAAATGGTGATTCATTTATATTTTCTTAAAAAAGATTAAATGACAGATGGAAAAATATATGTCAGGAAAATATTTTCCTTCATTGCATTCACCTTTCTTCTAGTGCACACATGGTATACTTGTAGTTCCTGGGGTGAAAGTGCTCATGTGGCAGGGAAAGGATGAGTTGATGTGATAACTGATGAAACAGTGCTTCTGCACTTCACAGACCCATAGGTGGGGCTCAATTCCACTCTCAAAAGACAAAGAAAGTCAAAATGCTCCTCCAGATGAAAACCCTTCCATGTCAATAATCAATAAAATAACATCTTCTATAAGAAACATCCAATTCTTAATAACCACAATATTCGAACTTGTTATAAAGTATATTTTGGCCCTCTGTGTCAACTTACTAAGCTACATATTTACCATAGCAAGTGCTAATAAATCATCATTTCAAAAATGGGTGTAAAGTCCTCTCTAGGAAGAGTGAGCATTGTTTTCATTGTCCTGAGTCCCTTGGCTGCCAGGGGCTGTGATGGGACCGAGTCAGGTGCTGCAGTGACTTGCTGCTGAAAGGGTCACACCCAGGTCATCCATTCTCAAGCCGAGCTGCCAGCATCACTCATAAATTCTGCCTACGTACCACTGTTCCTGTCCCTGAGGTGGTCGACTTCCCGCACAGTATTAATTGAAAGATTGTTTATGACACTGCCAGGAGTGACGTAAGGGTCAGTTTCAGGGTCGATGTTTGGATAACCTTTCCATGGTTCACCAGGGCGAAATTCTGGAAATGAAAATTAGTTAGGGCTTAATCATGATTTAAAAATCCATTATTAAGTATCTACAACTTATATGCTTATATTTATGCAATCCTCAAATACTTTCCAATTAATAAAGTATCCTAAGAGGACAATTTAGTAGTACAATTATTAAAAGCTGTTAAGAATAACTTAAAACTTTTCACAACTGAAATAATGTTTCCAGATGTATATATTTTTAATCAGTAACATTTAAAGTGCTTCAGTACAAGTCACAAAGCCACAGCAGCTGGAGTAGGACAAAGCAGTCCCTGGGGGCATTTCTGGTGATTTTTTTGGTACCACTGAAAGGCTGCCAAGTTAGTTCACTAACACAGCTAAAGAGGAACAACGAATGAAGGTTTCTGCATCCTTCACGCCAGTCAGAGGAGCAGACCCCACCACCTTCACTGCCTGAGGCATAACGAACGCACTGGCAACAAGTCAGACACATATTGCCCAAATCTCCGGGCTCAAATTTTCACATTTCATTTCTGCATTCCTTCTTATTTTTAGCATAGAGAATGGTCTATTGCACAGAGCTGGGCTAAACACCAAGTTCAGAGGTAATAAAAACTAAATGGAAACAATTTCTTATGGAAGAAGCTGTTAGAATTTTACCTGGTGGCCAGTTAACACTGCTAGAGCCGTTAGGCGATTTGGCACGTGGCCAGCCATCTCCTATTGAACCTGGAGGACTGGCTGGTGAAGTACTGCTGTTCATAAAGTCATAGGGAACAAATGGAGACTCTTCCAGCCTGAAACCACTTGAAATAGCACCTACAAAGAGAAAAATGGTAGTGAAATGGAAGCAAAATAAATATACTATGACATTTCTTTCTTGCAGTTTCTCAAATGTGGTAAGGAAGTTTCTATTACTGCGGTGGGTTCCAAACTGTGCTCTGCAGGTAGCCTGGAGACACAGAGAGAGCAGTCTGCATCTCCTACAGACTCCAAACACTGTCACTAGACACTGAGACCTGAAAACCATCACTGTGAGCTTCATGTCAAGAAGGATATTAAGGGCCATAATTATGAAGTGACCAGAACATGAATTACTCCCAATTCATTAAAAACACTTGTATTGAGGCCTGAATTGAGAACAAGCACAGTGAACTGCAGCTGAGGCTCCTGTCTGGTGCCGGTGGTGGCAGGGTGAGTGAGAAGCATGGCAGGGAGATAAGGGTAATGCACAAACTGTGGTCAAGCAAGTCACCAGCGGTGAAAAGGGGTGTCCAGAGTCCAGGAAATTACTGTGCCAACAAAATGGACTTTCCTGTATGTTTAAATGGATGTTGGTTAAAAATATTATTTAATGCAAAATAGTGAGGATAATGAACATTAACATGTAGGCTGGCAGCTTACGAATCTTTCCTGAATACAGAGTCGGACAAAACTTTATTTTTATTAAGGAAAAAGGAAAAAAAATAAAAATTTTAATAATGGGAAGAGAATTATTATTCTCCCTTTTAATATAAGGCAAAGGGAAAATAATGTAAGCCAAAAGAATATGCTAGAGATGATTCTAAATCTACTAATATGAGACCCAGAGTCACCAAATTAAAAGTAGTTGTTTTGGGAGAAAATGAGAGTTTAAACAACATGAGACTGGTAAGGAAAAAAGCACTTTCCTTAAACATTAAAAAGTTTTAAAAATGCCAACACTTTAAGACTTGAAGTTTAAAGGCTTCTTTTATACAAACCAGAAGTCCTAGCAAAGATTCTTGATTTTTAAGTGGGTAAAAGCCAAGTGATATCTATGAAACAAGGGCAATTGGCCTGGAGTTGATTAAGATCAGTCACTCATCCACTGCCTGATGAGAACATGGGGGGCGGGGGGAGGGGAGGAGATAGGAAAAACAGGTAACAAGGTAACATTAGGTAATTTGTATCTAAATAACAAAGAGAAAGAATAACAAAAGATAGTATCAGGATATCAAATTAAACAGGAACAGCAAAACTTAGATTGACTAAAGAAAAAGCACTGGCCTATTTTGAAAAAGAGACTGTTACTAGTCCATGTTCGTTAGCTTGCTATATATATAAGGATAAAAATATTTACTGTTTAAGCTAATTACTAAAATTAAAAATTAGTAGCTCACATTCCATGTGATATGCAATGAAATGTAGAACAACAAACAGACACTAAGTTTTAAAAAGGTAAAATACAACTACAAAATTAAAAATTAACAGGAAAAACACAGGACCTCCCTGGTGGCCTAGGGGTAAGTCTCAGGGCTATCACCACTGGGGCCTGAGTTTGATCCCCGGCCAGAGAGCTAACCCACATATGGTGCAGAAGACCTCTGCTATCTCGCCTGCTGCTCCCCTCAGCAGTGTATTTCAGTAGATCCACCTGTTCTGTTCCCCACTCTATCTCTGGTGAGTCCTCTTACACATCCCCCCTGCCCCCAACCAGCCTACACCCCAGTTCTTCTATGTAAAAATAAATAAAATCTTTTTTTTTTTTTAAAAAAGGTAAAACACAGAAGTACTTTATAAACAAACTTATCCTAACAGTCAGCTTATAAGACACCATCATAGCCTGCTCCCTAAATGTCAGGCAGCAGCAACCAGGTAAGAGCATAACAGCAAGCATCTTATTCAGTCCCACCCAACAATTCTATGATGTATTATTTCCATTTTGCAGATGTAAACTCTGAAGCTTCAAGAAAATGGTCTATACAATAATGCAACAAGAGACTAAACACTGGGACTGAATCCCAGGTGTATCCGACTTCATAACCAAAGCTGCGGGATGACGCCCCTTCCTACACCAGTACGCCCTGTAAGCACAGCGATCACTTGAGGATGACATACATTATACCCACAACAGCAGTGAAAGCAAGACAGTATTTCATTTTCACAAGGAAAATGAGGCCCAGATACACAAAACCCACATGGAAAAATCCACTATAACTTGGGAAGACAGGTAACCATAAGAGAGAACATTTTTCTGGTATCCATATCTATCTCTCCAGCCATCCTTTTCCAGGTTTCTTCATTACCAGGTCCTTGTTCTCTCCATGCTCCCAACCTCTGGGCTAACTCATCCAAGTTCAGGTTCTCAACATTCTGATGAATATGTAACCTTACCTTCTAGAACAGATTTTTCTTCTGAGTGAAACACTTCCAATTTCTGGCGGGCTTTTTCCATGCTGAGTTAACACCCAAATATCACACTCAACAATACTAAAATCAATTTATTATCTGTTGCATTTGATTCCTGCTTTACTCTACCATTAAATTGCACCATCATCCACTTATCCTTTACCTAGTAAATGTTCACTGAATGGTGCAATGGGGCTACAAAGTAAGCAAAGTGTGGGCACTCTCCTTTAAAAGCTTATGTCCTGGGTAGGACATGGGCTTAAATGAATACTTACGCAAGACAGTGACACATATAGGGGTGCTAGGGGAGCATAAAGTGGGGAGGCTTCTTGGAAATGATTCCAAGCCCATCTTAAAGGTCAACAGATTAGACTGGAGGAGGCTACAGTCACAGAAGACACATTACAGATAATCACATAGCTGCAGTTAGTTACCAAGGTTAGTTACCAAGCCCTCCTGTCCTTAATTCTAACACCGTTCAATGTACTCCCTCCTCCCACGCTCACCTCCTTCTTTCTCTCTGGCCTTCATTCCTGTAGATATCCACCATTTTGATGTCTAAAATGGTTTATGGCAAAAGGTTTCCCATGATCTGCTTTATACCTATTGTTCCAACTTTTTCTCATTGTACCGCCACCTCCAGACTTGCCCTCCACACATTCGGTTTTCATGTCATACTCACTTTGTTGCTCTTTCTCCACTCATTGGTTTGGTGATCTTTAAGACTCAGATCAGGATAAGTCTCTTTATAAAATAAAGTCTTTCCAGACCTACCTCGCCCAAACCACTATTATACTATTTGTACCATTATACTTTTTAATTTTTACAGAACCTACCACAGTGTACTAAAGCTGTTTATGTGTTTCATTTTGCTACCAAACATGAGCTCCTGCAGGACAAGTATTTTTACTGCTTATACACACTTATACATACTTGGGTGTATGTACATATGGATCTATGTATGCTCGGTGGTTACATTGGCTAGATAACATTAAATAATATGAAAATGACATTTCTAAAAAAATTAACTAAGACAATACTGAATGTATATGATTCACACACAAAATATATAAACAAAATGTGTCAATATAAAAGAAACTGATAAAAATCAAATTATGGGAATTTTATAATACCCTACTCCAGGTTAAATTGAGTATTAGTAAGTAGAATGTTGGGACAATAAATCAACTTAAATGACCACTGAAAGGGGAAAGTTTTTTTTAATGTACAACCAGATTTTCATTTTTATAATAGCCTAATAAAGGTTAATTTTGTTGTTTTATGTTTTAAACTAAGATTTAACAATAAAGCATTTTAAAAAAATGAATAGAGATTCTAGGGGTATTTGGCTTTGAAAATATGTATTTGAGACTAAAAAAAGAAAGGCTTTAGCATTATACAGTTGCTTTTTTAAAGCAAAAATATTAGGACTGTATTCATACCATGTTTGCTGGAGTTTTGATCCAAAGATGTGTTCACAGAAATGCTGTCCACTGTAGTCCACTTCCTTAGTCTTGACTGTGGCTCTTTAATACTGTTCATATCCATATTTACATTCAAGTTTGAATTCAAGCCTTAAAAAAAAAAAACAATAATTTAAAGAGTCATTTCATAAAATACAGCATGTTTGTCTTTTGGTACCATTTTCTAGAAAAACATGAAACTAATCTAATGTTTCCAAACTTGCCTAATGTTCCCTAATAAGTATCATCCTGCAAATGTGGCATAGCCAAGTGATTAGACAAAAGCAAGGAAGGCAGAACAGACACTCCGGGCTCCTGGCCAAGGTCACACACAACAATGTTATAAGGGCGAGCCAGAGTTAGGTTATCAGAGAAAGCAACACAGAATTCTGAAGAGCTACTGAGAACTCAATAATACAATGGACTCAAACCATGAGAGCGTTAGTACTATAATTTCGTTAACTGTGAAAACTTTCTTCATATACTTTTGATTATTTTTAAGAACTTTTCCTATGACATGCATCAAACTGAGATGTTCTCTAAATGTCTAGGATGGACAATTCTATCTTAGATATTGTGGTCAGAAAACAGACCATTTAAGCCAGTATTTTTTTAAAGTGTGAGCCAGGTTCTACCATCAAAATTATCCAAGATGCTTGTTGAGAATCTTCTGTGAGTGGGACAATTTTAACACACATCCAGATGGATCTTACTCTAAAATTTCAGAGTAAATATTTTTAAATACATGGGTGTGATGAGAGTCCACAGGATATTAGGTCAAACTTAAATAAAAACTTAATGAATTTAATGAATTGTCTAATATCCACTCTATTTTTGCTGAGAGAAATTAAATTTGTTGGTCTCAGAATCATCACCTAGAAGTAGCTGGCAAATTTTTCTTGTAAAGGTTCTGACAATAACTATCTTAGGTTCTATGGGCCACAAGGTCTCAAGGTATGTATGTAAGTATTTTATAATGCAAAGTAGTCATAACAAATACATTAATGGGGCCCTCCATGGTGGCACAAGGGGTTAAAAGTCTCAGTGCTATCAAGCAATCACCAACAACTGAGGCCTGAGTTCGATCCCCAGCCTGGGAGCTGACCAACATGGTGCAGCAGACCTCTCCTGTCTTGCCTATAGCTCCCCTCAGCAGTGTGTTTCAGTAGATCTGCCTGTTCTCTCCTCACTTTCTCTGGTCAATTCTCTCATCCCCCGCACCTCTAGCTATACCCCAGCTCTAGTATGCATAAATAAATAAGTAAATCTTTAAAAAAAAATGCATTAATAAATGATGGCAATGTTCAATAAAACTTCACAAATTTGGCCAATAGGCTGTAGATTTAGACAACCATACTGGTATCTTCATAGACTAAGCGGACTTTCTTAATCAGGAAAAAAGTATCTCTTGCTGTAAAGCCAGCCAGGATAGGAAATCCCATGTTTAAAAAATTTGTCTCCCCATGTCCCAATTTATAACAATGTTAAGTATATAGTCAGGGTACTAGTAATCATTTATAAATATTTAGACAATAATTACATTTTCGGATTTTGACACCTACAAATATGACTGTTTCCAGTATTTTCCCAAAAGCTATACAGCTCAAATCTTCTCTGTTGTGCTGTTTCTAACAATGGTGCTCCAGCCTTCTCCTCCCCTTGTAGCCTACCATTAAGATATCCAAGTCTGTAAAACTGAGGCTCCCAGCAGGGGAAGGGGAAAATAGAGAGGAAAGAGGGGAGAGGACCCAACAACGGTGGAGAACCCTGGTTTCCTTGGTAGTGGATGTGGTGTGGTAGCCCATGGCTGAGTAGGTAGATTCCTGTATTTCTTAATTATATACAGAGCTGTCGATAAACCAAAGTTACATTAATAAAAATTATTTTAAAAATTAAAAAAGAAAATCTGAGTCTTAGAAAGAAAAATATTTCTTTATTCTAACCCACTACAAATGGAATTTTTGGAATAGTGTGATTTTCCTGAATGGAGAAAGGCCTTCCATGAAACATGCAGACAGATTCAAACAAGAGGAGATGGTAACTCCCAGAGAGGAAACAGCTCAAACCAGAGAGGCTTTCATGAGGGCAACACAAGGAAGGATGCAAGTGTGTGATACCTAAGCATCAACTGAATGCTTTGGCCAAGCAGAAACCTACCTATAGGAAAGTTGCTGAAAGCGTTTATTGGTGATGGCCCTTTTTGCAGCTCAGGTGTAGTGTGGGGCATGACATTTTCAAGGAAAGATTTCATGGCTGGCTGATGGAGTGACTGCTGCTGAGATGGTGGAGTCTGTTGCTTTACCAACAGGTTTGGATCAAGTTGACGGGACTGCTGCATCATTTGCTGCTGCACACTAAGAGGTCGACCCTTAAAACAAGAAAACGGGAAAAATCATAGAGAAAAAGTCTTCTTAGAGCCCCACAGATTCCCCTTCACTTTTTAATTCACTTCCTTCTCAGCAGGAATACAAATCATCACTGTACTCCAGTTAATATGACTTCTGGCAAACAGAAGATTTAATAAACAATCTATTTCAGAATGTTTTAACTAAGGCATTTTGAATCTCTCATTACACTGGAATTGATGTAAGATGAGTTTAAGTGTAGCAAGGAGAAGGATCTGATCTACCTGCTGGTCTTGCTGCTGCCGGTTCCCAGAAGGCACGCTTCTCTGACTCTGCGCCCTTTGCTGTTGCGCTAACAATCGCTGGAGGGAAAATTGTGAAAAGGTGATCAGTTTTCCGCCACCTAGAGTAGCATGCTTCTACGTGACTGTGGCAGATGGATCCACAAAGGCATGGCTTCACCTAATCAGTGCTAACATGTCCTGCCTCATCCAGCATAATCACTTCCTTGCATCCTCTGGCTTCCAGCCCTGCTGTTGAATTTAGTCTTTTGTACTAAATAGCCACTTCAGGGTAATTTTCCCTGATGACCCCACCTCCAGCCCCACCTCAGACTTGGCTGGCTTGCTCTTTGAATTCACCGTCTACTCACTGACACACTGCAAGCTCTATGAGAATGCCATACTTAGGCCTTTTTGTTTACTGCAACACATTCTGCAAAGAGTCTAGTGTTTAGCACAATAGACACTGAACAAATGTATACACAGAACAAGGTTCTTATTTCACTTACCTGTAACTGGGAGATCTGAGAAAGCTGGTTTAGTTGGGATAGCTGGTTCAGCATGGCTACCTGTTGAGGGCCAAAGAGCGGATTCAGGCCACCGTTGTTTGGTGCATACTTCAGCAATGAAACTGGAACCTTAGGATCACAATGGTAAGTTAATAATGTAGATAAAATAACTCTAAATGTACTGTGTATTTTAAATTGAGTTATTAAATTTGTGGATACTACTTGGGGAACTGTTATTTTTTTTATTTATTTATTTATTTATTTATTTATTTATTTATTTATTTATTTATGCAAGCACTGGGTACAGTCAGAAGCGCGGGAAGGTGAGAGAATTCACCAGAGCCAGAGTGCAGAGCAGGCAGAAGGACGGAAGTACACTGCTGAGGGGAGCAGCGGGCGGCAGGAGAGGTCTGCGCGCCATGTGGGACCCTCCTCCGGTGGCCGGGGAGCAGCTGGGGATCGAAACGGTGCTGTAGAGGCTGCGGGCAGCTTTGCAACCCAGCGCTCAACCACTGCGCCACCGGGGAGGCCCAGGAACTGTTATTTTTAATTGTCTTTGCTTTACTCATACATTGCTCATATACTTTCATGGTATAAAAAGGAACAGAGATCATTCCTAAACTACCCAGTTATTCTCCTCCATTCAAGATGTTTTATCAAAGACAATGGTAACATTTTAGAGTTAAAACACCCTTTACTCATTTTTTTAACCCTACCCATATCCTTTCAAAATACCAAATTCAGAATTAGCTGCATCTCAAATATGTCAGTAAATAATGATCAACTAATCAATCACTTATTTATTATTATTTTTTAAAGACTCATTTTATTGGGCCTCCCCGGTGGCGAAGCAGTTGAGTGCTGGACTGCGAAGCTACCGCAGCCTCTGCAGAGCCGGTTTGATCCCTGGCTACCGGCGAGGGTCCCACATGGCACAGCAGACCTCTCCTGACGCGCCCGCTGCTCCCCTCAGCAGTGTACTTCGTCAGTCTGCCTGTTCTGCTCCCTGCTCTGGTGAATTCTCTCACCCTCCCACGCTGCTGACTGTACCCAGTGCTTGCATAAATAAATAAGTCTTTAAAGGAAAAAAAAAAAAAAAGACTTATTTATGCATTCAAGAGCTGGGGTGTAGGCCAGATACGGGGGAGGGCTGGGGTGAGAGGATTCACCAGAGACAGAGTGGGGAACAGAACAGGCGAATTGACTGAAATACACTGCTAAGGTGAGGTGCAGCAGGTGAAACAGGAGAGATATCTGCTGCGCCATGTGGGTCAGCTCCATAGTGCTTGGAGGTGGTACATAGGTGGTACAACCCCTTGTACCACCTTGGAGGCCCTAACTAATCAATCATTTAAATACAAAATTATTCAAGGTTCTTTTTTAGGTGAATGTAACAGAGTATAATGGAAGTTTATTTACCTGAGGGGAGAGTAATGGAGGAGGCACTTGAGCACGGAGATTAGGCTGAGATGAACTAAGAGGTTGTGCTGGAGGCTGCTGCATGCCCCGGGGTTGTGCTGCTGTGTTTCCAACACCAAACATACTGGGATTGCCATTCTACAAAGACAAACAACAACAAAATAACAGTGGGGTTCTTTGTTTAGGGACAAATGTATTATTACCTTATTGTACTATTGATTTAAACACAGTAACTACATGTAAGAGAGATCTCATTATTTAAGTCATTCAACAAAGAGCCTAAAATACACTTGTGGGCTTACCTGTCTAACAGAATTCAAGTTTTGCATACCCAGCCCTGCTATGGAGCCAAGGGCCTGGTTAGGTAGTGCACTATTTGAAGGGGGAAGCTTCATGCTTTGACTGGACATAAATTGCATGTTTTGGGATTCATCTGCTACAATGCCATCCTGATTGGACATACAGAAAGATGTGCAACACCAGCCAAGCAAACAAGTGGAAAGGAGAAATCATTGCAGGAACAGAAGAGAAGTCACATGACATTCCAGCATCAACAGGAGACAGGTAGAAAACAGAAAAGATCAGATTAGTGTTAATTTTAGAGTACATAAAAAGAACCAAACATATTTTATGGGATTAAGAAGAAATTATAAATGCAATCCCTATGCTGAGACATAAAAAGGACAATGACCTACAAATTCAGTAATAGGTTTGCACTGGATTATGACACTTCATACTAAGTATCCCAAATATTAATGAGTAATTACGCTATAAATGTATTGGTTAATTTGCCACTGGGATAAAACAAACAACTTACCTTATCAAAATAAGGACTGCGCTCCATGGAAGACTCTTTGGAAATCTGAGGCCGAGAACCAGGGCCTTTCCCGACCGTTCGATTGTAATCACCAATATTTAGACTATGTTTATCTATCTCCATTCGTTTGTCTTGTAACATTCCTAGTAAATACAGGAGGCTATGTTATCAAGTAGGAAAGCAATTGCACTTGTTGGTTTCACATAAATTTGGAGTAAAAAGCAAAACAATTACTTCTGAAGCTGAAATGACTGCTGCCTGGAAAAGGACATATGAAAAATGCACTAGCACTTAATAAATCTTTTTTAAAAAGATTTATTTTTATTTGTATAAGACATGGGGTACAGGCCAGAGGCACGGGCGGTGAGAGGATTCACCAGAGACAGAGTGGGGAGCAGAACAGGCAGACAGACCGAAAGCACTGCTGAAGGGAGCAGCAGGCGCGACAGGAGAGGTCTGCTGCACTATGTGGGAATCTCCCCGGCCGGCCGGGAACGGAACCTGCGCTGCAGAGGCTGCGGACAGCTTCACAGTGCTATGCTCAACCCGCTGCGCCACTGGGGAGGCCCCCTTAATAAATCTTGTATTCCTCACAAGTAAATTTGTTCAGGTAAACAGAAGGTCAAAATCTTTGGTCATCTCTAAAATGCTTAATTTCATAATAAAAACATAGTTTCTCCAAAAAATAAGCAAATTGCACAAGAAACCCCATCTAATAAATGTTACTATGTGCCTTCTGCTGTTCTAAATGCTCATTTTGTGTGTTGTAACTTGAGGCCTGTAACTGTACAATCAGCACCCCCATTTAGCACTGGGGAACCCGGGAGACCACATAGGTCAACATCTCCCGTACCTACTCTCAGATCTTTCTTGGTGTAAATTCTGTCTGACTTCGTTGCTATCAAAACCACCTCTTCTCCTAGAAACTCCCTCCTATAAAATCTTTGCTTTTAACAGCAGCCTCCAACCACCACCGTGATTCAGATACCTTTTCAGAATGGACACCGCCCTGCGCCTCCACAGCCTTATCACAAGCGCATTATGGCTTCTCCTCCTCTCCCCACAGCTGGGTTGGTTTCCTCATGTTTTTGTTAATGCTGGACATACTGCGGGCTTTCTCAGTATACCTAAGATCTGTCTTCTTGATTTGCTCTAAAAATGCACTTTGAGTCAGTCTCAAAGGCTGGTTTTGAAATTGAAAAATTCTTTTTCCTCCTTGAAAGGAGGAAAGACTGGTTTTAAATTTGAAAAACCTCCTTGTTCCTCATCCTCTACATTTTCTCAGCCCTCAAATCTCATCCATCGCTTCTTTACAACTGTGATCCTCCTTTTGAGATGTCTGTGGCTGCCCCACAACACTTGCCCTCACTACCCCATTTCTAAGCAAGTGGAAAAGGAAACATTGTAACTTTTAAAATGCCACTGGTCTCTTGAAATTTTGTTTCAGCTATAGCTCAAAATAATCCACATTTTAGCACTTGTGAGAGCCCTCCCCTGAATGTCAATAATGCTTTGCAATGACCTCCCCTCTGCCCTCCACCCTGGTTAATGGCCGCTGTACCGCCCACCTTTTCACTTCAAATCCCTGTAAGCAAATGCAGCCAACTCTTCTTCCTAAGTAAGACTTCACTGTACTTTCCCAAAATAATCCTCATTTTTGCCTACTCAAAATCTTTTAAAAGAGTATGTCACATGATTCCCAACACTGCTGCGTCCCTTCAGAAACCTGACTATCAAATGTGGCTGTGTCCCTTCAGTTTATCAATCCCCGAAGGCCCTTGGTTAAAGTTACCAATGACAAATACCAATTCCTCAATGTCAAAATCATTCTCTGACAACCGTTTGCCTATTTTCAAATGTCTATTCTCAGCTGGCTTTTGGAAAGTGACTCTATTCTACTGGTCATATTTCTCAGGATCTTTGCCTATTGCCTTTCCCAGGGGTTTTGTGTTGTTCATTCAGTCCATTATTCTACAGCTTTCTCTGGTCAACCAATTTTTGCAGCTTTACCACCACTGACCTCTCATTAGTTACACTTATTGTCTCAAGCTCTCCCTTCAGAGCTCCACATTCAAATTTCAACTGTTCACTGAATATCACATGGTTTTCATTGCAACTTTAAACTTAGTATCTTGTCTACCAAACCTCCTAAGCCTACTAAATTTCTTGGTTCAAATAATTGGTTCAAATAATCTAGTTATTGATCTGTCTCTCAGCTTCAGATTCACCCTTTTGACTGCTCCATGAAAACATATTTGGGCTCCTGGCATGTTTTTTCTTTGCCAACTGGTTCTGAGGCTTTATTAGTAGGCGCTGGAGAGAAATCCTAGCAGGGGCTTCACTTCCTGACCTGATGTGTTCACTTGGCAGGTGTTGGCAGTGCAGGATGGCAGCAGTCAGAGAGCAGCTTCTCTTATTCCCACACGTCTCCAAACAACTTTGTAGCAGAGTGCCTCTAGTGAGAGACCTTTCTATGAACAGTTCTTCCCAGCAGATACACTCAGCAAGCACCACTAGCACAACATCACTGTAACTTCTCTGCCATTTACTGGGCCACAGAGGAAACAGAGCCTTGTCCACACAGCAACAGACATATATTCTGGATATCCATTTGTTTTCCCCGACTATAAAGCGTCTGTGGATCCGTATCTCACAGAAGGCCTCACCCACTGTACTGGCATCCCTCACAGTCCTGTATCTGACCAAGGAACTCATTTTGCAGCAAAAGAAGTGTAGTAATGGGCACAGGCCTGTGGAGTGGCTTATTATCTATACCATTACCCAACAGCAGCCAGCCAAACTGACAAGTGGAATGGCTCATTGAAGACCCAGTTACAAAGCAAGCTGGGAGACAACATCCTGAAAGAATGGACTTCTGTCTTATGGGCAGAAGGATGCATTAAGTGTGTCCCCACACCAGGATGCATAGGTCTGGACTCAAAAGAGGAGTGGAGGAGTGACTTCTCTCACTATACACGTAATGAGCCACTCAGAATCCCTGCCTCCTGTTTCGGCAACTCTGCAGGTATAGAGAGCTTAGTCATTAAAAGGAAAAAGCGCTTCTATCAGGAGACACAGTGGTTCTATGGAACTGGAAGATGAAAACTGCCACTTGGACCTTTTGAAGTTCTTATGCCACTGAAACAGTAGGTAGAAAAGGGGTTCATCCAGGGGCTGGAGTGATTGATTCTGATTACCAAGTGAAAACTGGTTCCCTGATACAAAAATGAAGGAAGAAAGCACTCTGGAACCCAAGGGCTTCTCTGATGATATTTCTTAGGTCTGAACCATGTCCAATGATAAAGGTTAATTAAGAAATTATAGTAATCAAAAAAGGCAGGATGTCTGAGTGCTCAAGACCTACTGAGGATGAAGGTTTGGATTGCCCCACCAGGGAAGAACCTGGGAAAGCTGCAGAGCTGGCTGAGAGTGGGGCATGTACAAAATGGGCAGTGAAAAGACACCACAGCGCACGACCAGCTGCAGTAGTGAGGATAGCACTAGTGTTGCATTTTTTCTATTGCTTGCTATGTGTATGTGGTTATTTGTGAAGGTCAACCATTTTCTCCTTTATCTTTGCTATTTTTATTTTAGTTGCAAGTTGCTGAAAGCTTACATTTTAGTCTTTCAGTAACAAACAGTGAAATTTGATTAACATCATAACTACTGACACACAATGACTCTAAGGACCGTACATCCTCTCATTCTGACAAGTGAAAAGCTCCTTGTTTACAAGAAAGAATAAAAAGACAAAGTTGTTTCACCCTTGCAGTAGAATTGAAATGTGTAAAGACTGCACATGGAAGCTGGGAAGGCGTGGGGTGGGGTGAATTGTACTGATGACTTACTGTCTCTCATCTCAAAATTCACCTTTGTGAAAAAGTGTATCTGGGCTCTTTACTTTTTTTTTTTTTCCACTTGCTCAATGACAGTGAAGTTGTGTCAGCAGAGGAGCAGGAGAGATACTGTGAGAAGTTTTGTTTCCTAGATTCAGTGTGTTCTCTCCTGTAACACTGGCAGTTTTTCCAGCACCAGGCCCTTGTAGGGCTCACCTCACCACCAGACAGCAGCTCCTATCAGTAGCCTCTGTGGCAGTTTTACAGCAGTACCCTCCAGTGAGATGACTCCCCTAGAAATGGACAGCCATGGGGTGGCACCACATGCAGTGGTGAGCCACTGCAGTGAGCCATGCAGTGAGCCACAGCCACATCAAGAGCTGGATCCCAGCTCAGTGGTGGGGAGGAGGGGGCTCTTTCTTTTGGCATACTTTCTCAGTCCTAAGGTTAGCCATGTCTCCTATAGTAATTATCTTCTACTCATACATTCTTTAGAGTTCTCTTTACCTCCCACTAATTAATACCTTATTACTCTTAAATTTTCCCTGTTCAGGGCCTCCCTGGTGGCGCAGGCGGTTGAGCGCCGCACCATGAAGCTGTCCGCAGCCTCTACAGTGTGGGTTCAATGCCGGCTGGCCGGCGAGAATCCTACATGGCGCAGCAGACCTCTCCTGTCTCGCCCGCTGCTCCCCTCAGCAGTGTATTTTGTCAGTCTGCCTGTTCTGCTCCCTGCTCTGTCTCTGGTGAATCCTCTCACCAGAGAGGATTCCTGCACATCTGGCCTGTGCCCCGGTTCTTATATAAATAAAAATAAATCTTTAAAAAAAAAAATTTCCCTGTTCAAATTACTGTGTAGTTTCTCTCTCCTGCCTGGACTGACTTTACACTACTTCTTGTCCAGGTATGAAAGCTGGGAATCATATTTCATCACATCCACTCCCTTCACCCTTCATAAAAAATTGGCACACACTTTTTTGATTCTAATTTCTGTATCTCCACTGAATTGGATTCTTCCCACCTACTGTCTTGTTTGGAGCTTTGAAAATTCTCTAACAAATCTCTGTTTGGCTATGATTAGTTATCTTTTCTTTGTCTGTCCTCTGCTGCCAATGATTTGTACCCTAAAATATTTTCAATCTATAGCCAAAATTATTTTTCTAAAACATAAATTCAAGTCATGTCACTTTTCAGGTTAAAATTCTTTAATCCCTATGTTCACGGTAAATTCAGGCCCCAACCCCTTCACGATTTAGGTCCCACCCAACCTTCCAGGTAAAGCTTTTATCCCACCAGCACAAACTATTCATAAGTCTTATTCTCTTACATGAAACTACCTGCCGCTTCTACAGGATGGCTGTCTCTATCACCTGTCTGAGGCTTTGTACACACTGTTCACTAAATTAAGAAAATATCAGGGCCTCCCCGGTGGCGCAGTGGTTGAGTGCTGGGTTGCGAAGCTGCCCGCAGCCTCTGCAGCACCGGTTTGATCCCCGGCTGCTCCCTGGCCACCGGAGGAGGGTCCCACATGGCGCGCGGACCTCTCCTGCCGCCCGCTGCTCCCCTCAGCAGTGTACTTCGGTCCTTTTGCCTGCTCTGCTCCCAGCTCTGGCTCTGGTGAATTCTCTCACCTTCCCGCGCTTCTGACTGTACCCAGTGCTTGTATAAATAATAAATAAATAAATCTGGGGGGGGGGGGAGAAAATATCAGACAACCTGGAGAGTTAAATTCTTTTTTTTAAAGGATTTATTTATTTATTTATTTTAAGATTTATTTATTTATACAAGCACCGGGTACAGTCAGAAGCACGGGAGGGTGAGAGAATTCACCAGAGCCGGAGCAGAACAGGCAGAAGGACCGAAGTACACTGCTGAGGGAAGTAGCGGGCGGCAGGAGAGGTCTGCACACTATGTGGGACCCTGGCCCCGCGGCCAGGGATCGAACTGGTGTTGCAGAGGCTGCGGGTAGCTTCGCAACCCAGTGCTCAACCACTGCACCACCCGGGAGGCCCGAGAGTTAAATTCTTAACAGGACTATTTTTGAGCTAATTACAGGCTACTATCTAGATTTGCAACTACCTTAGATATACACTTCGAGGGCACATAAACTCACATAATCACAGCCTTCTAAGGTTTGCTCGAGAGCACAGGAAGATGGCAGTAGAAGCCAGGTCTTCCCCCTCCTGGTCTAGGCTGGGGCTCTTTTAGTAGGATTATGTCAAAGATAATGCTGTCCATCAATAATGAATATAAACTCAAACTGATTTTTTTTTTCTTACCTCCAGAAAGGTCCATCTTATTGCTTTGTACATTTTCTTCTGGTGAGTCTCTCTGAAGAAAAGACAGCATGTTAACAGGCCTTAATTTATTAAAGAAAAATGAATTTTATTTTATCTCATTACTTTTTATACTCAAGCAGATCACAAAGCTTACTTTTCACTGCTAATATGATTTTTTAAAAAATGTTAATAACACATGGTCAGTACTTTTAGTTAATACTATAAAGAAGGCTTCATAGCCAATTTTACTCTGACTGAAAGCATAAGGACTCAAGATAAAGAACAATTTGTTTGAAAAAACAAAAATTTAAATTAGGGCAAACATGGACCACATCAAAAGGGGAGAGGCCTATTAGGAAGACATACTTACCGAAAAACTGATATTTGAAAACTGTTTAACAAATGGATTTATCCATGTTTCTTCTTGTTTGTTTCCACCTTTCATCATTCCCTTTGTAAAATAAAAGAGTAGAAAGATGCCATGGCCATCTCTATTTATCTGGGTATAATGATGGGTTAATAAAATTTCAAGACAATTCCCAACTTTCATTTTTAGCCAATAATTTCTCCTCCAACCAACTCTTTATCAGAGTTGTTAATAATTAAAAATCAACTTATTTTTCAACTTCCTTTGCTCCAGTCCTCTGGTATAGCTGTAATGTACAGAGAAATCTCTAAAGGCAAGCAGTCAGAAGGAAAAGACAGAAGCAGAGGGCCTCAATAACCCACAAAAAAGGGTCCTCTGAATAATTGATAACTGTTTATCAAACAGTATCTAACTGACGAATGGACTATATTCTAAAAGATTAGTTACAATTTGGATTTTCAGAATTCTTACACCAAAACAAAGTCTCAGATTTTTGGGTTAGTCCAAAGAAACAAATATAATGTATAACTTAATTATGCTATGTGCACTGTACTGAAAAAGCAGTATTTTAGTTTTAAATGAAATAAAGTAGTTTAAAATTTCAACTTCTATTGCCAAGAACACAGTATCCCAGCAGCAGCTGGGATTTCTCCAGTGTAACATTGGCTTTCTGAGGCTGGCTGTTCGGGGCATGGGCAGTACAGTAACTACTTTAAGACATGAGCTGAGGTGGAATGGCCCATGACTTGAAGTCTTCTAGATAGGGAAGCTGGAGTCTCCCACTTATGTAGTGATCACAGGACCATTCTCTAGTCTATTGCTTTAATTTCCCCTTCCCCTTGCTACTATCTGTTCCTTCTGACTGTGGAAGAGAACACAGCTTTACAATATCCCCCCTAAATGCAGGTCTCTGAAGCAAGCACCTAACCCTTGCCGGGGTTTCTGAAGTGGTCTTTGATTCCTTTTCCTCTTTTGCCCCCAACCCCACACCTAGTATGTTGTCAAGGTCTTTGTCCTTTCTAATTTTTAAAAGGACATGTCTCTCAAATTAATTCCTCCACTACCAATCCATTCCTGCTTCCCAATTTAGGCTCTTCTGTCTAACTTGAATGATTCTAGAAGCTTCCTAACTGAGATCCCTAACTCTGGTCTCACCTCTTTTTTAATTCACCTTAAATAGTCATTGGTTAGTTTTCTTTAAAGAAATTAATAATAATAATAAAAAAAGATCAAATTGGTACTGTCTTCTGTTCCATTTCACTGGCTCCACATTTATACAGAATAAAGTTCAAACTCTTTGGCATGGTATTGAAAACACTTTACAATTTTATTTTAGTTGTCAGGCTACTATTTTCCTTAGCACATCCCACCCCCCCCCCAGGCATCTTCCAAGCTCAAGCTGACTCTCCTTAGAGAGCTCTCCTAATGTTCCAGATACTAGACTCTGAGCTCCTTGAAGGTACAGCTCACATCTAGTGTTTCTGAACCCCCAGCACCAAGCACAGTACCTGGCACACAGCAGAGGCTAAATAAATGTTTGCAGTTGCTTTCTAAAAGATTTTTACTAGTAGAAACAAAGGAGAAAGAGTAAAAAGGCTACACACCCTTTCCCTTCTCCTTTTTTTGCCACTCAGACCCTGTAAGGAAAGACAAAGTCACAAAACAGCATGGTCCAGTGGGAAGAACACAGGGTTTGGAATTGGAAGATCTAAACTTAAGTCCTTGCTCTATCACTTACTAGATGCAACTATGGGCAAATCACCACTTTTTCCAGTCTCAAATTCCTCATCAGTATTCTATCTCAGAAGTTTATGAGGATCACATGATTTATGTAACATATGGGAAAGCACTTTGTAAGCTACATGGTAAGGCAATAGCCAAATTCAGCCAAATGAAAAATTAAAAATAAGGAAATGGCAGGTCCCAGACTTAGAATCCCAGGATTAAAAGGGAGGGACAGCTGATTGAGCTACTGGACATTTGACTAAGGTCCCTCAAAAAGTAATTATTCTCAAAAAGGGTGGGAAGGATGTATGAGAACCACCTGGGGGACTGGACACATATTTTGAAAATGGTCCCCAGGAGAATTTATACTGGTATCCGGCACCACCTCTAAATCACTGGTTAACCAAATCTGGCTTTGCATCAGACATATCTGGGGAGCTTGTTAGGACAAAAAATTTGATCCAATTTATATAATATATAAATATATATTATAGGCTTGGGTACAGGAAAGTTGTACTTTTAACAAATGCTATATGATTCTGATGTATAGCCAGATTTGAAATAAGATTTGTCCACATGTAAAATCAAAACCAAACTTGGCTCATTCCTAGAGATTTTTGTCACAGGACCTCTGGGGATGGGAAAGGGACAGAGATGGGAGATGAATAATGAGGATGGTGACTCTGGTCAAAAAGGGAGGCTGGGGACTCTTGGTGAGGTGGAATGGGAGATATGGGAGATGAAGAGGCAGTGGGATGGAAAGAGTCAACATGGAGATTTGCCCTTCTCTTCATCCTCACCACTGCAGGCACCACCACGGGGTGAGGGACTATCCCCAGGCAGCATTGGTAGAGGGGGAGGAGGAGAGAAATCCCAAGCTGTAGCAGTGGGGAGAAAGGAAGTTCCCATGGTCTCATATTTTCCTAGGTGGCTGCCCATACGAGAGGCTACACCTAAGTTGGGGATGCCTAGACTGTACTGATTGCCATAAATGGGCAGACAGAATATAATTTTCTGTGGGTAAGCTACCTTTGGAATGTAAAGTTTCAAGGGTTGTGCCCTTGAAATGTTTACCTTCGATGACATTTTCTTTGTATATGGTGGCCAATTTAAAGATGAATTAAGTTCTTGAGATGAACTACTATTCCACATTCCAATCTCTACATCCTCTTCCTCTTCCCAGCCAGTGGGGCGATTTCCAGGCAATGGCATATCATCACCACACCAGCCATCTTGCATAGATTTTGGCCCTGATTGTGGATTTGTGATACAAAGAGAAATATACTTTAATAAAACAATTCTTTCTGGAGGATGAGCATACATTAAAGGGGCAAACTGGGGAGGGGAAGAGAGCTAAAAGCCCCAATTTTATTTCCCATCTTAAATCTGCATAAAAATCAAGTTATTTTTAACTTGAGTTAAAAATTCTATTAAAAAAGAATTTATTTTTATTAAAATTTTCAATGAAACATCTCCCGTGCTTTGACAAAATAAAGGATTCCTAAACAGTGTACAGTGGTCTCCTTGTTGTTCAATCTCACTTAATCTGCACAGTGACACACGGGACAAAAAGGAAATATGAAATTTTTCAAAATTCATTTTAATATAGATTCTGAAGGCATGCCAAAAGTCATTAAGCAGAAAGTATCTTATCTCTATATTAGGCTTTGGGATCCCTATGGGGTATTCCTTATATAACATAGGGGTTAGTGATAATGTTCATCTGAAAACTGGGGGTCCTTCCCGAACTACTTCTGTATAATATTCAGGGAATCATCTGTAATCTGAGCCAGACAAATTGGGGATATGTGTCCCAATGATTATTATAACCAGTTTCACGTTAAATACATAAAAGTTGCTTGACTGTTTCAAGATAATGTAATTTGGTAAAATAAAACATTCTGGTGAAGTACATACAATCATTAATAGTTAGTTCTAAGGAAAATGAGAAAATTCAGAAAGATAAAAGAATATGTTATATTATAAATTCAAAGAACCAAAACAGAATTATGATGATACACAGATATAACATCAATGATAAAAACATCCAATCACTTACTAACAGTCAATGAGTGATCACCTATGCTACAAAACAGCTACCAGGGATTATGAGTAACTTACCAGATTTGCTTAACGCCTGAGGACCAACAGAGCTGGAGCCCCACGTGGATGTGCTGGATGCCGCAGCAATGGGTTCCCCCCAGCTGGGACCACTGTCTATGGGTTTACCCCACGCTGAAGTACCATTATCCACAGTTGTGGCTGGAGTGGAAGGCTCCCCCCAGGGCTCACCCCAGCCTTTAGAAAGTGGGGGAAAAGTTATCAGCACACGGCAGGGAAGCATAGTGGAATGAAGAACAATAAGGAATAGAGAACAAAGATGAAAAACTTCACATTTATGAATTAAATAATGATGCTGTGATAGGCCAAAAATGTGGCATTTGTTTTATGAAAGATAAATCATTTCCTATTATTATAATTTACCTATGGTGTGAATTCCCCCTTACTACTTCTTTTGTCATTGCCCTCTGAGTGCTGAGCAGATTCTTTTGAATTACCTTAATTATGGCAAATTAGCTTCTACTGAAGATGAATTTAAATTCCCGAAAAAGTTATTCTGAGCCAAAACTAGTAAATGTAAAGCAAATGGTCAAGCTGGGTAATAGTTTATGCATAAATTCTTTAACCATTACTGCAGCCTTTCAGTATCACTGTTCTGGAACACCAACTAACTAGAAGACTAGCAATGAGTAAGCATCCTACTCTTACACATGCTGGACAAAGCCTCTTAAGAATTCTGAAATATTAGTTTGTCCAAAGCAAAGAAACTCAGTTATAAGTATCATCTAAAAGAAGTGAAACAGCCTTCCTTAGATACATACTTGTTTCTACTAGGAATTAAATCTAAATTAATACAATAAACTATACTCAGGAAGAGAAAATAGGTGCTGAAAGGTCAGTTCATAAAAACACTCCTATCTCCACATCCAGCAGGACTCTTGGTCAATAAAACCTCCATTAACAAGACAATGCAGTCCAATGAAATTTACTCAAAATGCCATTGTCAAAATCATTTGCAGGTAAGAATCAGTTCCAGGTTATAAGAGGAACATGGCACTGCACTAGAAAGGCACCGTCAAATGTTTTATAAGCATACACATATAACAAGCTGTACCTAACAGACTTGGATTTCATACCTACTTAAATCATGCCCTTTCAAAGGCCAAATATTTAGAGTGTATTGTCCTTAGAGGTTGCGGTATTTCTAGGGACATTTTAGCCAAATAACAAAAATAAAAAGTAACGGTTTGGCTTGATACAGAATTGCTGGAAGTGTACAGCATCAACCCCCTCTGCTTTCTGTAGCATTTCTCATAGTGAACGCAGTGTCTTGGATTCACCGCCAACACTGTCAAAGGCAAGACCCTGTTTCCTGAGAGTCAACACTGTCCCTGTAATTGTCTTCCCTATAAGCTTCTCCCGAATTTGCAGTAAAAAAACTGTTGTGTGCATATCTAAGTACTTCAGCCAGCAAATCTTACAGTAAGAGTAATGGAAACAAGACTTGTAACACGGGAAGCGTTTGCAGCACTATCAGTATCCATAAAATAAAAACTTACCGGAGCCACTGCCCGCCTCTTTGTTTGCGATGGCACTTGCAGATGGCAGCAACTGGTGTGCCTGTGCTTGCTGGTCTGGACGGCTGCCACCATTTGGGATGTTTTTGTTCCACATGTTCACATTTTTGTAGTTGTATTTGCTTGGATCTCCCCAAGCTGAAGTTCCATCATCAATCTCCATTTTGCGGCGTATGGATTCTGGGGATGGTTCCTCCCAGCCTGTAGGTTCTTCTTCTTTAGCTGGGGCTGGAATAGGTCCCCCCAGCCAGCCCGTACCAGGAGGCTTGCCTGTAGCTGGTGGGATTCCCCAAGATCCAACAATGTCTTGTTGCTTGTTCCAGTCTGGAGAACTGACTGGCTTGGACGAATCTCCCCAACCTAGTGACTGATTAGACTTTGGAGGATCTCCCCATCCCGGGGAAGGATTAGCTTTAGAAGATTCATCCCATCCTGATGAATTATTTGGATTTATGTTATTTCCCCAAGTAAAAGAACTAGTTTTACCGAGTTCATTCCAACCAGAAACAGATCTGTCACTGTCACTACCTCCTGAGCTAGATTTCTTATTAGCTTCACCCCAATGGTTACTCCTTGAAGTTTCTCCCCAGTTATCACCGGCAGAAACGGACCACCCTTGGTTTGATTTTTGTCCATCACCCCATCCCTGTTTGTTCTTTTGCGAATCATTCCATGCAGACTTCTCCTCTTTGCAATTCCCCCACTGATTGCTCTTGACCATTCCTGTAGCAGCAGAATCATCTTCCCATCCCCCCTGGCAGTTTGAGCCTTTGGAATCTCCCCACCTCACAGCAGGTTTGGGATCTCCCCAACCTACTACAGATGAGGTATCATTACTATTAGGGCTAGTCTTATCTATACATGCCCCTGAGTTAAAAGTCTGTGTTGCAGAGCTCCCCCAGGCCTCTGTCCCATTGTCAGTCTTTCTTTCCCCTCTAGGTGATGCATCAGTATCCCAGGCAGTATTCTGCTTAATAGGAGTCTGTCCCCAACCAGAGTTGGATAGGACACGTGGATCTAAGTCAGTTCTGTTTACAATGCTTTGGAGTAAGGTGTGCTGATCTATTTTTCTTCTATCTCTACTCTGATTTTCCCCAGTTACTTTTTCCTCCAGGCGTCCAGTGCTTTCTGTACTACCTTCACTCTCCACCGGACCTCCTGATTTGGCCCACACGCTGTTTTGCTCATTTGTCTGAGATGTGGCAGAACCCTGATCCTCTTCCTCAGTAGATTTCCATCCATTTGTAAACGTCTTACCATTGCCATTTGCACTGTCATTGGAATGCTGATTGCTAGACAGTTTGTTCCACTCCACGCTGGGTGTATTAGTGCCAGTGTTTTGTGCAGGGGTGCCCCATCCTCTTCGACTTCCCCCAGAATTCGCACTGTTTCCACTTCCCCATGATGCGCTCTGGGAATTTGCTGCCCCAGACTCCCACACACCTCCTCCTTTATTCGTGTTAACTTGAAAGTTAGTGCCCATAGGCCCATTTATACCAGGCTGCATTAGAGTTGCATTCACAGTGTCACCATTTGCTTGGCCATTAGGGCTTGAACATTTGTCTCCAGAGTAATTAGAACCATAGGCACCCCATGTAGTACCGTAAGAGCCTCCATTTTTTGACTCTCCATTGCTAAGGTGAGAAAGGGAAGTGCCATTCATAACTGATGGAGCCTGTATCTGAGGATGATTCATTGTGCTCACGCGCCAGGCCCCTGTATTACTAGGCAGTTCATTATTCTGTACTGAACCGGAGTTTGGTAAACTAGAGGTCATAAAGTTAGTAGTGTTATTTGGTCCAGTCATTTCAGTGGTAATATTTTGAGGTTGACCACTGAATGAAACCTTCTGTGTACCACTTACTTCAGATTCACACGTTTCCTGAAGGCTTCCCCAGGTACCATGGGTAGAAGAGCCACCCACTTTAGAGTTAATACTCTGATTGTTAGGCATCTGGCTTATGGGACTGCACTGAATATTGATGCCAGAACTACCACTCCCTACAGGCCCTTTTAGGGCAAGTCCGTTGTTCTCTAATACTGGCCAGGCACCATGGTTGCTAGCTGAATTCAAAGTGCTTGGATTTAACCCTCCATTTGATGAAGAACTTACAGTGCCCCAAGCATTCATTCTATTGTTGCTACTTTCTGATTTGCTTTCAGGAGCATCCACAGACACCTGACATGTGCTTATTATGGCTCCATGGGAAAACCCCCATGGCCCAGTACTACTTCCATGGCCCACATTATTGCTGCTGCTACCAACCACAAACTTGTTTTGAGAAGCAAGTCCAGTACTATTCCGAAGGCCATCTTTTTCACCGCCTGTGCTCCCTGAAGCCATGATAGTGATGTTTCTCTCTGATTCAGAACTGGAAGCAGAATCAGCATCCATACATTCTGAAGCCAACTCAGGATCACTGCCAGGGGCTGAGGGCCATGCTTCTCTTTCAGGAGAGTCGTTTACAACAGCGTTCTTACAGTTTGTGCTAGAGTCGCTTGTAGAAGACACAGGCCCCCGCTGCGGGTTTTCATAATGGGCTCCTGAAGTACTGTGGTTTATATCTAGAATAAAAGAGAAGCACAAAAAGTTATGAAGTATTTAAAAACATGCCTGTGCCTTCTCAATGCCAGCAAGATACATTTGGCAATGTGGTTATATTTCAGCCAACTTTTCAGATCCAGTAATTATTCCACACAGGCAAGGAATTCTTTGTTTACTGACATAATCCTAAGAGGGAAGATTAGTACCTGGAAAATAAAAGTCCTTCAATTAATACTTGCTAAATGAACAAACTGTTAACTTATCAGCAAGTATAAGACTTTTGGAGTTAGGAAGGACTAGGTGGCATCAATTACTAGGAGAATGGAGTGATCCAGCCTTGGAGGCCTGGCACAGGAAAGTAGGAGGGGTGGGATATAGATGGATAAGAACAAGTAAATAGGCCAAACTTGATGAAATATATTAAGAATCTTTTTCCATCTTCCCTTTCCTAGAATAACTTTTTCACACAACTCTTTCAGGTATTATAACAAGTTTGTAAGAACATTTTTAGTGCTACTTTACAAAAAAATTTTTTAATATACTCTCATTGCCAAGTTTATCAGAAAGCAATAGAAAGATCACAGTATTATAATAAAAATAAAATCAACTGCTGACACTGAATACAATTAATGACCAGTCACATTATCCTATAATCTTAGATTTACTGCCATATATTCTTATCTAGCCATTTTGCTGCAGGTAGGGTAAGCAGTTTTTGGGTTTGTGATACTCACCCAGATTCATTATTCTTTCAGTTGGAGGCGCTGATAGTTAAAAAATCCTTAGGGATATAACCTAAATAAGATGTTTTCATTTATACTGTCTGGAAGAGCTGGGGAGTATTTAGGGGTGGCACTACTTATTTGGTAGTTCTCCACTGAACTAGGAGTCAGAATTGTACTGCTTTTAAATAACACACATATTCAATATCCCAGAACTAATGAACCAACTAACACAGGTTGTAGGCCTAGAGAAAAAAGGTACCTCACTACTAGGATTCCAAAAATGTAGGAACTCAAATTCATTTTGCATTATTTTCTCTCAAAGCACAACTGTTAAGCAGGGAGAAAACATGGACTAGAGAGAAGCAGGAAACAGAACTAGAGAGAAAGAAAACATGTATATACAATTGTCAAACATGTATTTTAGAGTCTCATAAATGAGACTGATTTCCACTCCCTGTTTAAAGAATACTTTTTTTTTTAAAGCTGCCACATAAAGTTTGTTGTTTTCCAGTGCCCATGAAGAAGATTTTTCTCAAGAAACAAAGGATACCAAAAAGTCAACCAGTCTCATTAAGTAAACTCAATATACCAGCACCTGCATCACCAGCAACACAATTCAGGGCTTTGGATCACATACTTTACAAGCACTTCCATTTTGTCACTGTATCTCTGAAACAACCCCAGAGCATAGGTATTACCTTTACTTTGCAGCTGAGGAATTTGAGGTTCAGAGGTTAAATTGCAGAAAATCAAGAGAGATAGGCAAGATAATAAAAAATAAAGCAAGGTGGCTAATAGTAGAGGTGGTTAAAACTAGAGACAACTAGATTCAAGTCTGGATTCTATGTAGTAGTTGTGTGACCAAATCTGTAAAATGGTGATACAAACAGTGCTACTTTACCAAGTTCTTTTGTTAACCATACTGTCATATATATTTACCTTAGAGTAGCGTTAAATAACTGCTCCATGAAGGGCAGTTTGGTTCAGTAATTAACAGTATAAACGCTGGAAATAGAATGCTTGGGTTTAAAGCTGCTCTGCCACTTACACACTGTGCGACCACAGGCAAAATCTTCCAGCTTTCTATGTATTAGTTACTCGTCTATAAAGTGGGAGCAATGATACCACTCTTGTTCAGCTGTTGTGAAGATTAAATAATTGATAATTAAAAGTGCTTTGAACCATATTTGATCCAGATTAGGTGCTTACTAAGAGGAACACTATCACTAATCAACATGGATTAATGATTAGCATCATTTTTTATTCTTGTCTCCAAAGTATGTTTTTTCATTTCACCATGTCTCCTTCATGAAAAATAAATTTAGAAACCATATAACCTCCTTAATTTAAATGCCCACTTATACCCTGGGTTATGCCCCCCAACCCCCGACACCTCTTCCCAAAGAAAAAATAATCCTGCTTCTTTACTAGTTTTCCTTAACTCAGTAAATTTCCTAAAACATTAAGATTAATTCTTTATTGCTTCCTGTGCACAGCGAATTCACACATCGCCAGTTCTAAATCCACGCACTTTTCTCAAAATCTAAAACATCAAGTCACTATCATCCTCTCAAGAACTAAAGTATTTACTTCCCTTATTTGCAAATGTGTGTGTTTACATTTCCATATAGTGTTTACATTTCCTAAAATAAGATTAGGAATGTAAAAGAAAACTACTGAAGTTGGAAGTGGACTCAGAATTTAACAGTGAAACATTAGAAGAACTCTTATAAGACATGAAGATAGGAATCCTCACTGTTAACACTACTCTTCAGCTTTGTGCTGAAGTACTAAACTGATGAAATATGACCCAAAAAGACAGTGGTAAAGATAGTGGAAAACAATCCCCAAAAAGTGTAACGTGTAAGAAAGCAATAGTTCTCGAACCACTAGGAATAATCAGAGAAAATAAGGTGGAATAAAAATCTCAACTGTAACAGTCACAAAAACTATAAAGTAACTTTGAAAAGAACTAACAAAATACATATAGTCACATGATTATATTTTATGGCAGGTCAACGAAGACACATTGATTAGATCTAGGCATTTGTTCCTGGATAGGAAGATGTAATAATATTCTTTCTATATTTCATTCAAGAAATTGCTAACAGAGCCTTTAACAAAGTGATTTAAAAATTCATGCAAAACAAATGAGAGAATAATTAAAAGTTAATCTTTTTGTCAGAATATATCAAAAGTTAAACAAAAGAGCAAAAAACCCACAAAGACCAAAAAGCACCAGAGTGCACATTTTGCAAATCAATTAGATCACCTTTAATGTTAGTGAAATTTCTCTCAGAATGTAGTCATGACTTGGTTTGGAGGTAATGGTGATCTCAATTTGTCTTTTGCCATACCCACCTATGTATTTTAGGAAAAGAGAACGATGTCATCAATAGGTAAAACTTCATTTTTAATCTGGAACCTACTTGATACTTAAATTTATCTTAGCTTGAAAATCTAAACGTGTGTGCTGGGCTTGAGGGTAAGTATCAATCTACTAAAGGTGTAAAAAGAACAAGACTCCTCACCAATCACAACTAAATTGTTCCACAGAAAAACTAGAAATGGAAGTAGTCAAAAAGTATATATCCTTTCTGTGTTAGGGACTCAAACCCATGGTTCCAAATGATCTGCAGGATAAACACACAAACATCAGTAAGTAGAAGAAGATCATTAAGCTTTTCCAGGAAATAGCGACAAAAGCAATTATAAAATCCTATGGCTTGTAAGAGGAAAAAGGGCCTCTAACTATGGTGAGTGAAATAGAAATTTGTACACATTGCACTGCTGTGGACAAATTAAGATTAGGAAAATTGCACATTACTGAGTAACATCCAAAGTACCGTTTAGTATCTTACTGTCATACAAAATCACCCCAGGAGAATTGGAGGCAGCTCTAGTACCACACCTCAGAAAGAATAGGGCATTTATAGCACCTATTCAGAGAACAAAGTCTGGTGACAATCCAAGTGATTTACAATCAGGGAGAATTTAGATCATGGAAATCGAAGTATTCTCTTATTAATTATATAATATGCAACCAACAAAACAGTTAAATATGTGCTTTCTCTTTAAAGATGTTCAAACTCGCCAGAAGGGAAAGACTTTTAGAAGAAAATAGTACTTATTTTACAATAATGTTCCTGGTAGGCGGGAAATGGTATCATCGCTGGGAATATGAGAGAACAGATGCACAATTTCAAATAACACTTAAGTGGGGGAGTTCAAATGTTTCTAGCCTCTACTCCAGGTGCTGGTAACCTCTTTCTGTAAAGGTTCAATCAGTAAATATTTTACCAGCCAGATGGACTCTGTGGCAGCTACTCAACTCTGCCATCGCAGCTGAAACAGGCTATAGACAACATGTAAATGAGTGGGCACTGGCAGTCTTCCAGTAACATCTGACTAAAAAGGACTGCAAGCCAGCCTCTTCCCTAGGTGAAGAAGACAAAAGCAATGCCACATCCCAATGCCATGTGTGGATCATAATGGTTTCTGATTTGAAGGATGGGGTGAGGATGGTGGGGAGGCAACTATAAAGACAACCTTAGGACTGCTGCTCCAAACCAGATGTGAGTGCCTTTACTGGGTCTATGAGGGAGCAGTGCAGAGGAAAGGGGAGGCAGAAAGGAATTTTGGAGTTACAACTGGCAGGACATGGTAAACCAGAGGACCATCAGACAGACAAGGAGGGGAAAATGAACCATGATGAACAGATTTCTGGGCAGCCACAGGATAAATGGTGTGCATGTGTCTGTGAGGGGACATTCTGAACAATGGAACCCCGAAGGAAAAACTGTCGTTAAGACAGAGTGAGTCCATTTTGGATACGCTGAGGGGCCCACATCAGCTGAAGACATCCAGAAGACAGGGAAAGGGAAACCTGAAACTGGAGAGATCTGAAATAAAGCCATAGGATAAAGTCTGAAAGCTGACCAAAGAAAAATGAAAGAACTTTAAGAAGACATGATAAGCAGTAAAAAAAATATAGCTATCTATTAAGATAAAAATGGAAAAGCATACTTTTTGGCCATTATTAAAAAATTAACCTCACTGACAGTTGTTTTAGTCAAGTGAGCAAGAGCCAGATTACAGAGCTCAAAAGCAATGTGTTAGAGCCTGTGAGTACAGGCTACTCCATTAAGAATTGAGAAAAAGTGGAAGAAATTCTGTAGCAGCCTCAAGAGAATGGTGTCTTAAAGGGATTTTTCTTAAGACAGAACTTGCACATGTGCACAGACCAAGGGGAAGTTGCAAGATGAGAAAGAAGTGTATGGTTCAGGACAGCCAGGACATATATACACTGAAAAAGACAATCAGGAACACTGGTGCTTGAGCTTATTTCAATCCTTAAATGTCCCCAAAAATTTGACTGCTAAGATAGTCCTAATTCTTGGTCATTCACCATTATAGCTCAAATCTTCTTGAGTTTCTTAAAGAGGAAAAACAATTCCGAACATAAGAAAGATTAGAAAGAGTGATTAAAAAATACTGACAGACCACTCACCTTAAGAAATATACTATTAATATAAAACTCGTGTGTGACTCCCCTTCTCTGATTACATCTCCTACCTCCCAGTGGGTAACCAAGCAGTACCCACTCAAAATTCTATATTTTCATTCATCCCTAAGCAATATGTAATGTTGTTTTTTCAAATTTTATATAAATTATATAAATGATATACTGTAAACAACCTAAAAGTTGTCTTGGGATAACCAGTAGGAACGTGAACATGAACTACATCAGCAGAGAACACTGTTGTATATATAACCCTTTGGCTTAGATAAAACATGGTTCAATGATAGTGCAGAACATGATCCTGTTCTTAGGGAAGTGCGTGTGGGAGTATGAGGCAAAATGTAATGAATGTACATGTGTGCATATGTCACACATGCATTAGGTTAGGGAGCCAGGGACAGAGGTGTGTGTATGACATGTGAAGTGAGAAAAATACCAAGAATTACTGGATTCGGGTAGGGCATATATGGTGTTTGTTGACTTAGCCTTTTAAATTTCTATATGTATCAAGGGCGCTGAATTATAAGAAGTGGGATGAACCTCCTGACCCATGAGAACAATGTTGTTGCTGGCCCTGTGAAGCATATTATAATCCCCCTCCTCAATCCTTTGTTAGATGGACTGTTGGCTTCCTAAAATCAAGGGTTATCTGGGTAGTGGTAGGATGATACCACAGGGCTCTAAGAAATCAAATGCCAAAGAGAGGTCATAAAGTGTTGACTGAAATTGTCAGTAAGTGTTTCAGGCACCGCCACAAATTAGCAGCTAAGCCTGCAGAACTGTCTAGTTTGACCAGTAAAGAGCTCTAAGGAAAAAAAAAAAAAAAAAAACAACCTTAAAAGAATGTTAAGATATCTAGGGAGGGTCAATCAATACACTCCGCTATCTATCACTATCACTCCTTTCAATTTTTTATTTCACTTACCTGCTGGTCAATGAAGGTAGTAGTCTATGTCCTCTGATTTATACACATCTCACCTAGGTACTCCTGATCCCCTGACTGCTAATAGTCAGCCTTTCTCAATTTTTAGCATAAAAACTTTAAGAAAATGTCTATGTATGTATTGTATTAATTTAAATGTCGAATCTACTCAATTAACTTTGTGTAGTGGAAGTGAGCCAAAAGCAAATACAAACAGAAAATAAGTTATGATTATAACTATTCCACAATTCTAAACTCTATGCAGTTCACAGCAAACCATTTTAGTGTTTCTAGGCTACGGCTCATGCAGTTTGTGTAATGCTATTCACTGACCACTATGCTAATTTCTAATCTATAAATTGAAGGTAGTTCTACCTAATCTGTAAAAGGAGGATCAAATGCATTAATACAGTGTATGAATCACAGTAAGCACCCCAGAAGTGTTAAAAGCACCTACTATATCATAATAACCCTACCGGAACTGGGACAGACTTAAGACGTATTCCCTGATTCAGATACCAATGATCAATTATGTGGCTCAGGTGTCTATTATTCTGAGTAGCACTTACAAAAATATTTCAAAATAAGTATGTGATATATGGTGGTAAGTGGTTATTCACAAATGCTCAAAAAAGACAAAAGCACAAACTCAGTTCTATGCAGAATGCTTTGCCCTTCAACAGTTTACTCTAGTCGATTGGGATTTAATTCCAGACCTATCAGATAACCTCCTGACTTCCACTCTAACCTCCACATTAAAGCAGTCCATCCTTGCAAAATGTTTCTAGAAACAAGTGGGATTATTTTTCCTTCTCAGACTTTTTTTGAAGACATCTTCCTATCTTCAACCTTTTTCTCATCTGAATGTAACACTAGAAGTTTTTTTTTGATCCATACCGATTTTCGAGAAATCAGATTCTTATACTTCCTGTTGTCTCCACTTCAAAAACAGCTTTTGTCTTATTTTCCAAACTGAAAAAACATATTCAACATATTTTCTAAATTTACTACCTCCCTTCCCTGTTTGTTTTAATACCATACCATCACGGCTTCATTTACAGTAGGTACTTAAGAATTTGTTGTATAAACAATCTCCCCTGAAGTTTTAACCACATTTTTAATTATGGTGATGGTTCTGACTTCCAAGACGAACTTCAACTACTTGGCATTAAATGTATTATGTCCAAACTAGACTCTTCCTAAAAAGTGCAGAGCATTCTGTAAAACTTTCAGGGATAAATTATTCAGATAACTTACTCAGTGCCTAAATATCAGGCATTAAGCTAGCTGCTTTAATATGGCCACATAGTTTAATATTCAAAGCAATATTATAGGTTGGGTACTACTGTCCACACTTTATAGATCAGGAAGTATGGTCAGTTAAATGATGTGGTCAAGCTCACATAGGCAGTAAGTGGCTAGGGGGGTAGGGAGTAAGTATTAACTCAGGATAATTTGTATTCTCTCTCTTTTCAATGATTATATGCTGCTCTAATTACTTATGGTAAAAAACATTTGTGTCCTCTTCCTCCTTACCTACCACATTTAGTATTTTGTCAAAGCAAAGCATGGTTGTTACAAGCTTAGCTTTAGAGTCAGACAGATGTTGACACAAGTCCAGCCTCTGCTAGTTATTAGCTGTGAAATACCACAATATAAAACAACATAGAGCAGTTTCTGACCTGTAAGAGAGTAAAGAGGTAGAAAGTGAGTAATTCTAGCTGTGCTAGTTAAGATAGGTTGCCCAGGGCCTCCCCTGGTGGCGCAGCGGTTGAGCGCTGGGCTGCAAGGCTGCCCGCAGCTTCTCCAGCGCCGGTTCGTTCCCTGGCCACCGGTGAGGGTCCCACCAAAAAAAAAAAAAAAAGAAGAAGATAGGTTGCCCAGAGGAGACCCAGAGACTGGGAGCAATTAACCTGCCCCAGGACAGACACTCTAGTATACGGCAGAGCTAGGATTTATAAACCAGATCTATTTTGCTCTATAAACTTTGCTCATTACCAGTATGCTAGTGTTTTCATGTATGGAAACCGTATTTTTCCTCAATTCTCTGACTGGTGGTAAAAAGCTTCAAAATAGTTCAGTAAATAAATGGACCACCCAACTGTCAGAACCTAACAGAACATGTTGAAACAAACTGAGCTTTGAGAACACTACAATTACATACTATATTTTCTGCCATGCAAATAATACCAAGCTGAGAAAAGCTACTCTGAGGGAATAACTAAATGCATGTGTTCTGTTCAAATATACTTTTCACGAGTGGTAACAGTCCTTTTATGGCATATGGTAACTGAATGAGCAAGTTATTTCTTATGTCAGTGCTCAGTTTTCTCTATTGTAAAGATGGAAAGAACAACGTACACCTCACAGGGTTGGCAGGGATTAAATGCAATTATATGTATATCTGCTTAGCACATTACGGGGGGTTGAGGTTCAATTTTAGCTACAGTCTTAAGAATCAACTTTAGCCACAAGTTGCTTATTAAAATGGGTACAACTTGGAGGGAATGATTAAAATAATAATTTTAGGTTGGCTAGGTAACTTACAAGAATTATCTTAACACTTCCTATTTATAACTTCCTATAGAGAATTCTTATTTTGTAACCCAGATACTGATGAATATAAATACATCACCAAAAAGTCATGAATTTGTAAACTTGCTATACTGCTAATGATGATGGCTGGAGTCTGTAAGAAATGCCTTCTCTCACCTGACTGGTTTTTGCTGTTCTGCACCTCTCCGTTACTTTGTGGCTGTTGATTTGTTAAAGCACTGCTTTCTGACTGGCTGCTTAACACTTTAACAGCAGATCCCAGGTTTGCTGCTATGACAGGAAAATGCTGACCCCTCTTTAGAAGCTGTTTGTGTTCCTGGTGGCGAAATCGTGGTGGTACTTCACGAGGATACCGAGGCAAGGCCTGTGGTGGTTGTTGCTGTTGCTGCTGTTGCTGCTGCTGCTGTTGCTGCTGTTGCTGCTGCTGCTGCTGCTGCTGCTGCTGCTGTTGCTGCTGCTGCTGCTGTTGCTGCTGCTGTTGCTGATTGTTGGCTGTGGCTCGCTTGGCATTATTATTAGTGCTGGTTGCTGTGGAAGTGCCGTTATTACAGTTGGCAGGCTGAGGCTGGCTTACACTGGGCTTTATCTGTTCTGGCACTAATCCCAACAAAAGAAAAGGGGTGGAAAAGATTAGCCAGTAAAGTGTACCTCCATTGTTATGAAAAACAACCCTAAAGGAATAGAAATTTTAAGTGTGGAGATTTCCCCATTCATTGGCTCAAAGTCTCCTTAGAGAGATCACAGCCACAAGTCAACTTTTATTTTTGCTAACTACCAAACTGATAAGGACATGGACACCAATGACTTTTCTTGGCCTGGATGGCAGCATATGTTCACCATCTTTCCCCCCTATTCTCTGATGAGAGAGCAAGAACTGACTAAACACAATGGAACTCAAAGAAATGGAACTCACAGAATTGAAATAACAAATGTGGCAAATCAAGTTCTGGCAATTCATGAAACATCCTGAACTCCCTGGTAATTGTCCTTAACCTGCCCCATTTTTATGTGTTTGGCCCCTATTTTTCATTTTTGGATAACAATATAAGAATAAGGGTAGAAAACAATCTGAAAGTTTCCTTAAAAAGGTAGTTAGAGTAAAATCTGAATTAAGAGAAACTCAGAAGAGGGAATAAATATAAAGACAACAGAATGAAATGTATGAGACTACTCAGAGAAATGTCAATACCTGTTTTAAGCAAATCTGAGCAATAGTTACTTACAATAGTATGTGATATATGGTGAATTGTATGAATTATAATAATAAAATTTTGGACCACTGAAAAGATTAAGTAAATAAAACGATAAATGCCTTAAACCAGAGATGATATATCTAATCTCTAAAACAACAGAGAAGCAACATGGATGGGAACTTTTGAAGCTAGATAGACTCAGATTTCAATCCCAGCTCTACTTTTACTAAGGTTTTGAGTTTTGGGTCAAGTCACATATAAAATCTGACCAAGTCCATGGTCTCCTCTGTAAAATGAGGGAAGCACCTATGCCTCCTAGAGCTACCTGAAGGTTAAACCTAAAAGCACCACACATACAGCTATAGAAACAAAGGCTATTTTTTCATGATTGGCACAATATCTCTTTATTCTTTTATTTTAGTTCGAAATGTTTCTGTGAGATTTTTGATGCAACTTCACTGATGTCACTACTAGATAGTAAAAAGAAACATCTCCCTGTGACTGGTAGGACACTCAGTGAAAACAGTTCAAGGGCTGAGTTCCAGACCTGAAATTAAGGATCCACCACACACTAGCTAGGTTTTCCCTGTGTCTTCTACCTTGTTTCTACAGTGCAGTCTTGGTCTAGTACTGGCACACTGTAACGTCAATAAAAATAAGTTATTATTGTGGCTCAAATAAAAGAATATTTATCATGCCTACAATGTGTATGACACTATGATAATGTACTTGTGCTGTTTCAACAGTCAACTCAACTTTGTAAACACCCTCAGCTCTAGAATTTCCCACCAACTATTGTCTTCTTTCTCTGAACAACTTCTTTCTCTGATTTAGTCTTTATTACTAATACTAATAACCAATATGTTTTACTATATGATCTTGGCCTCTTATTTTTTTAAATATGATTTTGATTTTTCTAAGGTAATACAAATTGGAGTTCAGGAGAAAATATATGGAATAAATTGAAAGTATTCTATTTTATGTTTAGAACTGTTTCCATTCTTCTTGGATGCAACTGAAAGCTTATTAATAATATAGGACAAGTGCTGTCTAGGTCTAATAAATGTATGAAAATTTTATCTCTTAGACAAGTTATTGCTCCAGAGGTGGCAATCACATATATTCATCATGAGGAAAATAAGACACTAGAATACTCTAAATTCTAAAGTACCTTTGAAACCAAAAGAAGATAAAGTATGTGTTAACTATAAAATTGTAAGACACATGAAAACTCTAACACAGTTTTTAAAAGCTTAGTACTAGGTTCAGCATGGTATTTATCAAATGAATATAACTTTGGTAGTTTCCCACTGTTTTAACAAAACAAGCTTGTTTGCTACTTTATTTCTAAAAAGAAAGAGTGTGACAATACGTAGACAAGACTTTATTAATGTGAAATGAGGAAAATGTACCTTAATATATTTAAGGAATCAGAGGCTAGCTTACACAAGAATACCATGAATGATCTAAATGAGGAATTTTACAAGACCTTTAACCTAAATCAAAAGTGACTAGGAATTGAGAAGCAGTATCTACATCACCCAGCAACCCCACCCCAATCATTTTCAGTAAAGAACCATGGGGAAAACATTATCTTTTCTGGGGACAGAAAACTTGGCAAAGCCCTGTAAAAACAGTAAGACATTTGAAATATTAAATTATATAATCTAAATAAGTCGACTGCAAAGCTAAATAATCTAAAGTAAAATCTTAGATATTAACATAGGATGTAGTAATAAAGAGTAAAGGAGAAGATAATAGTGCATATAGCTGGAAGGAAGGGTCAGATGGCTGAGAAACAAACACTGAGTAATTTTGGCTACTGTGCGTGTGTAGTTAGGATAATTCTATCAGTACATATCCAAACAACTGGAAGGACAGAAAAACAAAAATGAGAAAATTTGTCCATTCAACAGACATGGAAGATATAATGAAAACTGTAGTTAATATTAAATATAAACTAAGATGCCAGGAGTAAGCTCCAAATAGAGCAGAAATCATAGTAAACGTGAACTGGTTAAATCCACTTAATATTGGCTTTTAAACTGGATTAAAGAAAGAAAAACAAATTTAAGGAATATACTTTGTAAAAATGATTTCTGTAACAAAACAATGCAGGAAAATAGACATTATCACCAAAAAATGCTAACAAAATCCAAGGGAAAGCAAGATTAATATCAGATAAAAGAAAATTCAAAGAGAAAAGCATTTTAAGGAGTAAAAGATATTTCATTGATAAAAGAAGCCAACTAAAAAGACAAAGAGCTAAGAAGATTTATATACCAAACTTTATAGCATCATGTAAAACCAAATGGAGACAGAAAATTTGGGAAGAAAAGCAAAACCATACCTTGAAAAGAGAGTAACACCTTTTTTGAAAAGTACCCACAAAACAGTCATTAACAGTCAGTCTCAGAAACATTAATTCCAAAGGGCACCTGCACCCCTATGTTTATAGCAGCACTATTTACAATAGCTAAGCTATGGAAACAACCCAAATGCCCAAAAATAGATGACTGGATCAAGAAGATGTGGTACATATACACAATGGACTATTACTCAACAATCAAAAAAGATAAACACATGCAGTTTGCAGCAATATGGATGGAGCTAGAAGGGATCATGCTCAGCAAAATAAGTCAGAAAGAAAAAGAAAAATACTGGATGGCCTCACTCATAGCAGGAATTTAGAAAATCTAAATAAGGGACCAAGAAAAAGATTAATTAATAAAAAGTAAAAATCAAAAACAACAAGCAACTATAAACCAGAGACACACTATGGGGCGGAGGCGGGGGGGAAGGATTAGGGTCAAAATAAGGGGGGATGCAATTGTATGGGGAATATAAAAATCAAAAAAAGAAAGTAGACATAAAAAATTAAAATTAAATTTAAAAAAAGAGTCGCTCACTCTTTCACGTGGGGGCGCGACACACACACCATACAGCATTAAAAAAATATCTATGAATTTTAAAAAGTAGAAATAATACAAATGTATTTCTGGGTTACACTGTAATCACACTAGAAACACAAACTAGTAAATAACTATCTTTAATAAATTTGAAGTTGAAGAGGAAATAAATACCAAAGCTGCAGGGTTATCAAAATAATAGTGGACAAAACACATATAAATTTTAATATATGGTTAAGCTAGTGTAAATTCACAGCCTTAATTATTTTCAACAAGCAAGAATGAACATAAAACAACCAACTCAAGCTTTGAAAAGAATTCAAGTAAGCAAAAAAGGTATCAGTAAAGATACACATAGAAATCAATGAGTTCAAAGGTGAACCAATAAATCAGTGCATGATTCTATGAAAAAATAAACTACATAATTATACCAACTTTTTAAAAATTAAAATGGGAAGAAATTATTATTTCTAAAATTAAGGTATTTCTCTAGGCTCAACTGTATAGCTAATTTAAAAAGCTGAAGGAAGGGATGATTTAATACCACCCCAGAAGAAGTGAGAAATGCAAATTAGCAAAGAAACAGACATTCATAAAATCATCCACCAGAATCAGACAGCTTCACTAATACCACCACACACGTTTCTTCTTTTTTCATTTTAACTAGCATATTTTTAAAGAAACAGGTATCTCTAAATCTAATGTTATTTAAATTGTTGCAGAGGACAGCATAAATTGGAACACCATTAATATCATTATTAATGAATCAGATAAAATTTCAGTAACCCCAAATACTGGGAATAAAAAAGTCATATAAATAGTATGGGGGGAGGGGGGAAGATATAACTTTAAATGGAGAAATTCTGGAAAGACAAAAAAAACCCCAAACCTATGTACAATCTATACCAATGAAATAGCAAACACAGCTAAACTCCACAATGTTCTGTAACACAAGTTGGGCAATCTTTTATGCAAAGGGTGAAATAGTAAACATTTTAGGCTTTTTACCCCACATAGTGTGGTGCAACTAATCATTTCTGCTGCTAGAGAACAAATAATCAGCTATACAATGCATAAATGAATGGATAGGACTGTGTTTCAAGAAAACTTCATATACAAAAATAGGCAAGTGGGCCAGAAATGGCCAGTCTGCTAGTCTCTGCACTGCGACTGACCAAAATGGGCTCGGAGAGGAGGAACTACAGTATCACAGAAGCAGGAAAAAGTCCTCCAAGATTTCCCTCTCTGAAAAGTACCTACCTGACTTTATGAGGCATATGTATACAAAATCCTTAAGGAATGTAAATTATCAATGTTACATAAACTATTCCAGAACAAAGGAGGACAGGTTCAAAAGACTGGCTGGATTCAAACCTGGGATCCGCAGCATACTAGCTCTTTGATCCTAGGTAAGGGTCTTAACCACACTGTGCCTGTTTTCTGATCTATGAAACAGGAGTAAGTATTAACACCTACACCTACACTTGTGTTATCA